TATATATATATGATATGTGTGTGTGTTGTATATATAGTGCCTATATACATGTGCTCGGGTTTGCGAGGTATGTCAAGTATGTGCATTTATACACAAGTGTCTGAACACAGGAAATTCACAGACCTATCGTCGTTATTGTTCACGTAATATTGATGATAGAATATTCTACTGTATAATATATTATAATATCATTATAAATGTATAAAATAAATAACATCCGGTCTAATAGCCGTTTGGATTGCAATAATAGCCTATAATACCAATAATATGGTAGGTATTAGGTCTTATGACAAACGAAAGAAACGTATTTTGTCCAGTGCCATTATAATACACAATAATGTTTGTTTCAGATGGTCCAAAATCTATCGAGAAAATATTGTTAAACTAACTAAACATTTTTGGTGTTTTAATACCAATTATATAATTACATTGTAATATATTTTAACACAATTAGTTAAAAATAAATTTCTCCAAAATAATCATATTTATAATATAATAATAATTATATTATCATAATAATCATCCAATATTATCTTTACAATACTATAATGGGCTGTTCCATTGATACATTAGTTTTAAAAATGATAAACTATAAATGTTTAAGTTTTAATCAATACGTTTTTAATTTGTTCAAAAATGTCATATTAATATAACAGGGTAATTCAAAAAATATACACACCCTTATTTTATCTTAAATAGGGTTTATTCACATTCTGATTTTTACAACTTTCAAAATACATATATATGTTCCATAATTTCAAAAATGTAGGTTTTTTCACTATTCAAGGAGTGTCACATGGTGAGACAAACTTCTTTTTTCTCGTAAATTATCAAGCGGATTCTTTGGACCATTTTTGATGTATCAAAGTCGAAATATGTACTAGTAGTTTTTTAGTTATTTAACTTCGTGTACTATAATAAATTACTAAGTATGATAGTGCGTTTGGAAGATAAGGGGTCTATAATGAATTGAAAATGATACTAATTAATATTAATGTATCAATATTTCGAACCCATTAGATTTAATATTTAATCTTTCTTATATTTTTGTAAAACTATTTTTAAGGACTATTTTCTATATAGTATTTACCTAGGTACATAAAATACTAATATCTCAGAAACTACTCATTAAAATAAATCATCTATTTAATAGTTAAAAAAAAACGTTAGTTCTCATTTGGAAAAAAATAAGCTTATATCACTAGAGGAGACATTGGTAACAAATCTAAGTAGTTGGAAATATGGTCCTTAGTATAAATGTATATACTATACATATTATATACTTAAAAATTACAAAAATCAGAATTGTAATAAATTTGGTGTTAAAGATAAAAATGAGGGTTAGCTTGCTTGGTGAATAAACCTACGACGTAACATAATATATTATATATTATTGGATAATACTATTTGATGCTTTGTGTGTCACGTACCTATTTTTTGACCGTATTCCAATACCTCTTATTTTAACGTTAAAATATATAGTCCACATATTATATAGCTATACAGGCAATATATGTAATAATACGTCTGTTTTGAAAAAAGGGATTATTCAGAAATATAGTCTTGTCCTTCAAAAATATCATGGATTTGTATCATATATATGTGTGTTTGACATAATATACTATATACAGTGAATACGATGTACGTATATAATATTATGTACACCGTATTATATTTCACAAAACGATTTATTATGTTCAGGTAACGGGAAAATGGTCAAGTATCATAAACCCATTGATCATAATAAAAAGATTCATAATGTCATCGTGTCATAAAATATGATCACACTGCCCTGAGCTGTTATATATTACATTAGTTATAAAAGAGTCCATATACATAATATCTAACAGGATTAAAGTACGACCTTCTTCCGTGAAATAAATTATTGAAAATGCGTAGTGCATAATATATAATATTGTATATAGTGTCATAGTCCAGATACGATATAATATTGTATTTTTTCGATTAGAAATCTATAGAAAACATACATGACCTACATATAGCTATTATAGATATTATTCGTAAACAACGTTTGATCAACAAAAGCTTTTAGGGGGCTTTTGTGGAGGTACGCGTATAGAAATACTTATATTAATATAAAAGGTTTATATTTAAAACTAAAACTGTGGTAACAGTCTGTGTATTGTAAAAAATGGACTTTTTTTTTCGTACCACGTAACATTCATTCATGCACAAATTGAATGTCGTAATATGATATTAAACTCATATTAAATTGTCTCATTATCCATTAGGCATTTAATATTATCCAATCCTTACACGAAGACTTTCAATTTTATTATTTTATTATTAAATCAGTATTAGCTTTAATCTAAATTAAGGTTTCAGAAGTGATTTGTGGACTGCGGTATATTTGGGTTTATAATGCCTAACCTACTAGTTACAAACGTTCTAAATCGAACCAGAAGCTCAGATACCAAAAATTAACTGTATTATAACTGCGTTGTTATTAAATATAGTTGCCTATGCAGAATAGAAATGGTAATTTAATATTTAATAAATTTCGTTTCATTTATATTCGAAAAACATCACCAAACTAATGCAAAACAGTAAAAAAAAAATATGGAAATTATCCATCAATTTAATATATTTGAATACAAAACACTTATTGTAAAAATAGAAAGACATTTATTGACACAATCATTGTAGGTATACCTGTGTAGGTACTCTGTTATTAAATACAGCATCGTGACATAACTCAATACGCCTTGTCCGTGTGTTTGAGTAAAAGTCGTCGGTATACTTACTATGTTTCTTAGTGCGAGTGGAATGGATTTTGTTTTATTTCTTTTGTTGACACATAACTCGGTCGAGAGGAGAAGGAAAAAAAATCGAAAATCTGGTTGTGGTAGGCGCGGACGAGTGTGGTAGGTATAAGTGGACAGGAAGGTTAGCCGTTGTCTCGTAGACATGTGAAATAGCATGCCAAACAAAATGAAAGCCAAAGACCGCCTAAGTCAACTACTAGTCATTCTGTGTTTGCTTAAAAGATCAGACTGGATTTAACGACAACAATAATATGAAGAAAAAGAACACAACCGTAGTCGGGTAATGTTACCCGTGTTGGACCTATTGTTGACAAATGCCTTTCCAATACCTATAATATAATGATAATAAGCTCGCCGAATTATTTTTGTTTCATGTGAAATGTATATAAGATAATAATTATTATTCCCGTTGACGAATACTTGACAGATAATTAGAAACGCTATATTGTTTTTATGTAAAATTAAAAATATATTTCATATGTTTTTGAAAGTTAGGTACCTATGTTGTTTTTACCAAATATAACATTTGGAATAAGATCACAATACAATTAGCACTATTAAATATGAATACGTTGAGTGCCAATAAGGAAAATTCAACTTATTATTTTTTAGTATTAATTATTAAATATTTTTTATCTTTGAAATGGATTTATGTAATTTATTATAATACCGATTTTCATCTATAGGTACCGGTACCCAATTAATGAGTCTTTCAATAAATTATCCTTCTCACAATATAATGACTATGATAATACATTTAAAATTATATCAAAATAAATATACCGTATTATGTAACAGTTAAACATTTTTAAGTAAAAATAAAAATAATATTAAGAGCTCCGATAATTCAAATGTATCTGCAGCCATTTTATACGCATTACCAGTGTTTTATTTATTTAAAAACTATTTTAAATTGAATTTGTTTTGTATTGTAGTAAAAGTAAAAAACTAAAATGTTACTGTACCGAAGAAGGCAAACATTATAGACAAATATTATAATAAAATAATATCAAAAGCTATATAATATAATGATATTAATGATAATTATATTATCAAGAGTTTTGAAGTCGAAACACGGTTTAAGTATATACAATACGATTATGGAACCTCGATTTTGTAACTAATGTATTTAGTAAAATTTTGCAGTTTGGCTACATAACTACTATGGTCGGTAAGTACTAACACTATGACATTTGGATATAGCTACAAAAGAAATAATATAGAGGAAGTATTATCTGAAGAGTCGAGTTGGTTCGGTGTGCAGTTATGTACTAATAAATACATTTTAAAAAAGGAGAAAAGTGGGTAGATCGGAGTTGTCGTAGTTGAGGTTAACTCGTCATCGAGTGTTCACTGTTCACTGTATAATGAATGAGTTAAATTTGAATTCAATGATAAATAATTGTATACGAAATGCTGTCGGTATATTACTGTATATTACTCTTATTGCGCGCGTCGAAAGTCGAGAGCATGATTGGTCGCTGTCTGTATAATATAATAAAATATATTATATATACCTCAACGAGGACATCAAAATGTTATATCTAGTGCTCGGCAAAGGTAACAGATATACCCTCTACCTATATAGCAATCGCGTACACGGTCTTCAGTTGTTACACGAGGGAAAACAAAAAAAATCATAGAAAAAAAATACTGTGCGGTGTTGTTATTCGGAACGTATATTCACTACTCAGTATATATATATGTATAGTGGGTACCTGCCTACCTATAATCGAATTATGCCAACGCCGGTGAGAACCTTCGTAAGGTTTCCGTGTATAATCCCTGGTTTTAAACCGTATAGTCGTGACCGGTGGACGTGGGGACGCTTCAGTCGACGGCAAGTCTAACTTACCCACTAATATTCTATCGTGAAATATAATAATACAATATATTATATCGTAACAGTAGTCCGTCTGCCGTACACGGAACACACCGGTTCAGCTCCAAAGGCGGTCCGGTCGTCGTCTCGTGGAGTGCATTAAACAACAATAATAATAATTATAAAATCGGTATTGCAATAGTAAATTCGTCGCAATTTCGGCCGGGTCTCAGACGGTGACCGTCGTCGTTTTCCCTCGACGGTTTTCCTCCGAACAACACTCACGCACATCCCACCAGTTTTTCCGTCGATTGACCGGCACGGGAAACTAGACTACGTGCGCAGGATCTACGCAGGATCTACGCAGGACCTACGCAGGACGCTCTAGCGCCATGGGAGACGGCCGCTCGGGGAAACTCGGCGCCGACCGACTGGACGTCAACGACTTGCCGGACGCCGGAGACCGTTTTGAGCTGGGAAAAATTCTCGGCTCGGGGATATTCAGCAACGTTTACGCGGCCATCGACAGTGAATCGGGTTAGACGATAATGTTTGGTTTTTTTTTAAAAAAAATTCTTCATAAACGCTAAAAAAAATTGTTAGCTGTGCACGACGAGTACCCGGGGACGGCGACCCATCTTTTTATTGTGGTGTTATAAATTCATCCTGTACAGCGGCGGTAGAAAATCGCTTATATTCTATAATTTTATTCCTCTGCTCGAACCCTCTATATATTACTCAGTTTACTCAATGAAATCGATCTTTTCGTTTTTTTTGAGGACGTGGCTATGTTAATACTAATTTTAACTACCCTTGGTTTCCGTAAATGTGATTTTGTCGATTTTCACCCGGTCGACGCAGTTTATTCAGTGTATTATTCAAATATTATAATTAGATCCATCGATAGCCAAATGTTTTTCTTTTCGATAATTCATAGCATTATAGTCAACCAACTAGTCGATATGTGGTGCGGGGATACAGGTTCGCCATCCCTCGGGCACTTACCTCGGTGTCGCTTTTACCCTTCGAGGGGGTTTTGGTTTAGGTATTAAGTGTGTATCCCACGACTAACATATATTGTGAAACGGCGGCTCAGAGTGTTGAATTCAACGTAGCGGCCCATTTTGAGCCCCGCGAACCAATGACTAGTGTAAACCCCCCTCCCCCCAACACACACGATTTCGCGGCGAAAGGTTACTCCATCCTGCACCTGTTTACGAGAAAAAATTATAAATTAAATGTCGTTACCACTATTATAGCCCCAAAATGACGAAATATCTCGCTATTTCGCTCGAAGCTTTATAAAAAAAATATTCACTATAATAATTGATATAATTTAATATTATTATGTTAATTTATAGCTGTAGTGTATAATGTGCGCTTTCTCTCGGCTTTAAATTTTTATATTTAGCTATTAGGCCTTGAAAGTCCAATTATTGTAATTAGAGGGCTTTGATACGTAGTTGTTGTCACATTCGACTTTTCCAACTATTAAAAAATATAACAGAAATCAATAATACAATTAGGTACAGCTGATATACACAAGACACTCAACAAACCTTAACCATAAAGGGCATAAGACATACCTAATAATAGTAATATGTAAGATTATGTAACGATACATGGCGTGTGTAATGTTTACAAATTCTAATTTTATTGTCAACGAATTTGGAATTTATGCTGTCCAGAAATACAATTCTGAATCGAACAATAATTATTCGTTACTCATTTCACATGGCTTCTAATGTCCTTGAATTATTGTCTAAGTTATATATCATTATTAGTACCGATGACACGGTGACTAATAAAAAGTTATAGGTAGTTTTTTTTTTAAATTTTAAAACAATGAACGCTCACACAACGACAAACAAATTGGCTATTGCACTGTGGTTGTTGAGTGCATATTATAATAATATATTACATACATTTCTAATTTAATATTTTTTTCCCCAGTATTTTCATATTGATTTGAATCTGTTATTGTTGTGCTATTTCTATAAAGTGAAATAAAAAATGTATGCTTTTCGCATATGAAATATTTGTTCGTCGATTATGAGGTGTGACGCTTTTCATCTATGATAATTATTTTTGGTATAATATTATCAAATTGTCTTAGGATGATATTAAAATTATATTACTAAAATTTGTTTTTAAACATTGCATTCTAATTTCTAAATATTGAAAAAAATATCTAAGACAGTTAGGTACTTAACAGACTTTTCAAAACTTAAGTAAATATATACTTAGGAATAAATCATAAACAACATTTTATACTTGATTAATTTTAGGCAATTAGTGGTATAAAGTCTCTATACGTTTTTTTTATGTTAATATGACTTAAGATTCACACGTTATCATATTACGTTAAACATATTATAACAAAATAGATTATTTATTTTGGTTCTTATATTATGATTTATATATTTAATAAAGACGATTTTTCTCCTGAACCATAAAATAGAAAATTCCAAAAAGACAAAAATATAATTCAAAATGTAAATGTGCTAAAAGTTATCCTTGTTTATATCCTAGGTAATTAACATTTTATAACTCGTTAATTGTACATTTCATCAACATATCTTAATTTGTCTTATTAATCTTAAAGTTTTTCCATGTGATGTTTCTGATTAGTGAAATAAGGTATAATATTCATAAGTCATAACTATTAATGTAAAAACTAAATTATTATTATTCGAGAGTAAAACGTCATCAATGGCCAACATTATAAATTTAATTTTCATAACAAAGGTCTTTTGATTTTTAAAAATTCCATTACCATCCGAATTGTTTGAACTTTTACGATGATGTTCACATTATAATCATTATGAATCGTCTGAAAATTATTGTATTTGTATTGCGGTTTGCCGGATTCATCACACATGAAAAGAGAAATAAATCGATTTGATTGAAGAGCGATTTCCTGGTAGAGTTGTATCGAAACTCTTTCCTTGCTGTTTATTTTTTATGGTCACCACAAGTTGAATGGATACTAAAAGATCTATTAATGCGTATAAAAATATAAATGAAAACACATATATCTCGATTGAGATGATTGTGCTTTATATTTATACAATACATTTTCTTTTATAAAACCATTATATTATATATACCTACTTATTCATTCCATCATATTTGAAAGCAATAATATAAAATATTGCTTGGCTTAGCAGAATATATATTGCTATAACACTTATGTTACAAACTTAATCGGTAAAATATCACGCGTGACGACCGTAGATACGCATGACCGTCAAAGCTGAGGATTGATGAGAATATAAACTGAAGATGATTTTTTTCTTTTTATAGTTTGTATAGGTAATACTGCTGAGAATGCTTGTGAGATTACTAAATCGCTTTGTTTTCAGTCAAATTGATCTGACTATCATAATATGTTCCAAAATCGTGAGCTGGAAATTTAGATATATTATATGATGTATAGTTGTTTGAACTTTTAAAATTGAACGAAAACCAGAAGTATAAATGGTTAACACATTTACATTAAAACATGTAACTAATTGAAAAAAAATTATCAAGTAGTTGTCTTACGCATTAGTAAAATAAAGATTTTTTATTACGTATTTTTTTTTCTCTGCCATTAATATTTTTAAGTACTTACCTACATTGCAATTTCAGAACATATGTTTTTTTTTAATTTTACTAATGATTTATATGATGGGAGAGGTTAAACTCAAAACATAGTACCTATAGTTTAACAGTTTGATGTTCACTACTTAAGGTTATATAATATGACTAAATTGAGTTTCCAATTTTCTTGTTAAAAAAATAAATGTTGTTCTGAAGGTACGCCAATTAGCCAAAATGAAAACAACTGTTGTACTGTATTTGCTTGCTAGTTATGTATTTTTACAAAATTCTGTTCCAAAATACATAGGATGATGTTATAATATACCTAATTATGTAGGTACAATCAAACAAATCACGTATCTTAATAATTTTTCTTGGTGTCTTACAATATTGTACAACGATTTTTTTATGGAACAATAATTGCATAAATTCTTAACCCTTAAAATTCAGGTAAAAATGTTGCGATCAAAATTCAAAATCTCAACGGATGTTCGGCCAGCGAAAAAGACGCCAGTGAAGAGTATCGGATATTGAGAGATCTGTCATCGCATCCAAACATGCCCGACTTTTATGGAGCTTACACCAACAATAATGCTGTCGAATTGTGGTTTGTCATGGAGGTATAATATACATAACTTAAATGAAAAATAATAATATACTTAATAACTATAGTTTTGCTGATAATTAGATGATTCAGTAGGTATTATTATTTCCATAATTTGTTTATATTTATCTACTCATTACGGAAAGATTCATAATTACATTAAAACTATTACACGGTTTCGATTTTTCATAATTTATAGGTAAATGGTAAAACCTTATAATATTTTAATTTTAACTCATATAATATCATTATGATATTTGTATATAGGTATTTTATAGTTTTCTTTAATTAATTAGGTATAGGTAATAATTATTATTTAATAATATAAATTGTAATTAGTTGTAGGTACTATAATGTATATATATATATAAATTGTTCCTATCGTTCATCATTGTATTAAGTAATACGTTTTTTGGTTACAACATATTTTGATATAACTACCTTTTACATGATTTGATCGTATATGGATTCACAAACTGTAATTACCTATCAAAAGTAAATAACTGCAGGAATAATTCACATTGATTTATGTGTACCTACATTGTAGTAGTTTACCTATATAAATAAATTAGCCCCTTAAGAATAGTGTTATTTTGTTCCTTTATTTTACTGTTTACTTATACCTAAGTTATAAGTCTAATATCTAAACGTACTTTGTGTTCGCTTTTCAATGGGCATCAATAAAATACTGAGAACTTCGAATTAAATAATTTGCAAGTAGATAATAATATTAAGTGGATAATATATGGACTGTGCTCGGGGCAAAAGAAAATAAGTCCATTTCTACAATTTTTTTTTATTGGATATTCTTGTAGATTATTATAAACCACATCGATTGGCATTAAAAAAATAAACAAATTTAAGGTTCATTTTTTTATAAAACCCATGAGAAAAAAGGAATAAGGTATCAGTCATTGTACAAATAGGAACAGTTTTTTATATTTTCTCAAAACAGTGTTTTTGTACTTATTCCCTTTTGCCTGGTCACCGTCCATATTATAAAGCACATAAGACTATAAATCTCATTCCACCGCTGATGTTATTTACAGATGTGTGAAGGAGGAACTGTCGTGGACTTGGTCAATGGTCTTTTGTTGCAAAACAAAAAAATGAAAGAAGAGCACATCGGATATTTACTCAGAGAACTGGTCAAGGTATGCGTTCGACAATAATACCTACGTAAAACTTAATACTGAATAATATAAAAAAAATTTATTTTTCAAAACATTGATACATACTATTAATTTTTGACTGCCAACTCGTCTCGTATTTTATTAAAAAATAAATAAATAAAAATGAATCAAGAGAGTATTTCATTGTTCAAAAAACAAATGCAACTTAAAATTAATGTGCTACCAGACCTTTGATTTGCTTAAATTCAAATGTTCGGTGTTTAATCAATTTCATATATTATGACGATAACAAACATATGCCCAAACATTAAATTATTTCGCCACTGAATGTTGAGTTTTGTAATTTTTTTATATATCCTTGACGACTTTGTGGCTCTAACAATATTAAGTGTACCTACGCATAGTTTCTTATATTTTATTTTCAAAAAACGATAGATTTTCACATTTTCTAATTTTTCAGGCCTCGTGTTTTCTTCACGATAATCACGTGATTCACAGAGACATCCGCGGCTCGAACGTGCTGTTGACGAAGAACGGGGAAGTGAAGTTGGTAGATTACGGTCAAGCCAGGTAACGTTGTTAGAAAAATAATATACTTGTGCACACACACACACACAATAATAATAAATAAATATAAATTATGTTTCTCGGCGTTTATCATATTAATACTATCATAAAGAATTTGACAGACGAATGCGATCGAAAGCTAAACTCTAAACATATTTACGGGCTCTAAGGGGAACGTCTACTACACTACCAGAACAAACTTCATATAGCTAGAGAAAATTTTGAAAACGTTAACACAGATTATGTTTTTCCTTATGGGTTGACATCTGAGTCCAGTCCAGTAATAAACGGGAAAAAATTGATTAACAACTATCTTGATTTGAATTTTGATTGAATATTATATCACATGCATTATTTTCTACATATCCCTGGCAATTTCCTTCTTTGACCACTAAAATCTTGCATTACGTGCATTGGCGTTGAGTGCAATTTTTTTTTTTGGTCCCTATTATGATATTAAAAATTTAAATAACTATAAAAAACGAATATTAATATTATTAATTTATTAATTTTTTGATCTGTGACTATACAGTAAAACCTTCAATTGTAGTTATAATTATTGTTATCTATTACATCGAATAATAAATATTTTAATAATAATATATAATAAATTGTATTATTAAATAATATCTAGGAAATGGTTATTTCAATTAATACAAGTTTAATATTATGGCAAATCACAATTCATTTCTTATTCAACCATATACTAGAAGTACAAGACGTGTGGCTAAATAGTATTATATCAAAGTCAACTAGGTACCTGACGATTATTAGGAACTCTGAAACTGGGTTGGTAGAGAACCTGCAATGACTTTTGCATAACGAATATTAACCCGAACGATACAATAATAAAAATAATAAATTACTCTACAAGTGCCAAGTATAGTATGTATCACCAAGAGTGGATTGGCTAAATTGGCTACCTACATTAACAAAATAGAGGGAAGAGTGCCGGAATGGGGAAGTGAGAAAGACTGTTTTCTTCATTGCCTCTCATTCTGGCACAAATCTTTTCATCAATTATATTATATAAATCTATCTGTGGTAACACCTCTAAAACCTCAAAATATTTTCATGTTCGTTCCCGTATAAGAACAAAATATGGCCCATCCATTCTATAATAGGTTAGGTATCGGTGGTGTGCTCCGATGCACTTGTCGAAAACGTCGTCTAATATTATACATATATCATCAACAACTTTTATTACCACGTTTTTCATTCGTCGTCGATATCCGTGCCTAGGTGGTTCTCTATAAATATGAAAGATGCTGAACGTAGCGATCGCTATGTCTCCTCCGGAAAAATCGACACATTACCTCACGTCATATTACTACGGAAGCTTATAGTAGTACCATATATAAAATAATATTCTCTCGGAATTTCGACTTAACAACTAGAAATTTCCTCTTAAAAACTTGAAATTTTGACTTAACTATTCCAAGTCTGTGGACCTACTGCGCAATTACGCACACACGTATATATATATAATAATAATAATATTTACGTTTCTTCCGACCGACTTCAGCCATTAACGGGTACGTAGGTTTAATATTCGACAAGACTCCGCGGTGTATAACATACATCGTTATTTGGCTATTATTATTATTATTATAATGCATTATACGTACGCGTGTGAGAGTTTTAGGTAGATATTATAGGTATATCATGTGCTTTGTGCCCACACGATGGCTACACACTACATTATAATGGTATTATAATAATATTATAACTTCATCACGCGAGACACGCACGTATCAAATCGTTTCTATATCATTGTATAACGCGGTCGCCATTTATTTATCACACTCCGAAATATCGTGTGTGCATTTTATACGCAGCAGCTCAGACACGGTGTACCACTAACGTCAGATACGTTAATACGTACAATAATAATGTTATACAACAAAATTATACTATAATGATGATAAATGATAACAAATAACATACCATACCAGGGCTTGAATTTGAAAAAATAAATTCCGTTCTATGTTATTTACAATTAAAATGTTACACAATTTTTGTGTTTATCGTTATTTAGAATAGTTTTAATACATATTAGATTTATTAATAATAACTAATTCGGGCAGGTAATGGCCCGGATACGGAGTATCATATAAGTAATCAATTATAATGTCCGGATGCACGAAATAAATATTTCTACCAAACCAATATAACTTGTAAATAAATGGATTATAAATTATTATTATTATTATTATTTTTTAATTTTATAATTCATTCAATGAAATTCTTTAAATTACGTTTTGGGGTATGTTTTGTTTGATTATTTATAATATATTTTGTTAATAGTTATGTTTTATTTTGCGGAGCTTAATTATTTTTGATTATCGCTTTCCGTTATGATTACGTTCACAAATTTCAAACAATTTTTTTGCCATATATAACGTTATTATAACGTTTGGAAGCTCTGTAATTTACGTCATATTATTTTACGAACAGACGCAATGTGTATCCCAAAAATATTCAGAATCGTAAGGGTTTGCCATATTATTATTTTTGGCTATATAGGTTAGGTGTAATACAATATTATTTACAGTAGTACTCCAGGTTTACAGGTGCCCAAAAGAAAATATCGAAATTCGGGAGGGGAGGGGAAACGGGTCTAGGTAAATTGAGTCCGAGATAAGTTTGGTGAATTTTGAAAGCGGTAAATTGAGTCCCGGTAAAAAACAGGTAGTAGGTAAGTTGAGTCCCGGGAAAAAAATGATAATAGGTAAGTTGAGTCCCGGGAAAAAATGGTAGTAAGTAAATATTATTTATATAGGGATATAATATTTAGATTTATATAGATCAAAAATATTACAAATACAAATTAATAAATAAAAGTCATTATTATTATATATTACATTATATTATTGTACACTCAATTTATTTACAAATTAACGATACACTGTTTTTATCAAGTACATAATATATGGGTCTAGGTAAATTGAGTCCGAGATAAGTTTGGTGAATTTTGAAAGCGGTAAATTGAGTCCCGGTAAAAAACAGGTAGTAGGTAAGTTGAGTCCCGGGAAAAAAATGATAATAGGTAAGTTGAGTCCCGGGAAAAAATGGTAGTAAGTAAATATTATTTATATAGGGATATAATATTTAGATTTATATAGATCAAAAATATTACAAATACAAATTAATAAATAAAAGTCATTATTATTATATATTACATTATATTATTGTACACTCAATTTATTTACAAATTAACGATACACTGTTTTTATCAAGTACATAATATATACCTATATAATAATAATGATAATTTTTAACGAACGATATTAATTTTTTTTAATAAATTTGTAAATAAATTGAGTGTATAATAATATAATGTAATGTATAATAATAATGACATTTATTTTTTATTTTTTTGGTTAATTTGTATTTGTAATATTATTAATCTATATAAATCTAAATATTATATCCTTATATAAATAATATTTACTTACTACCATTTTTTTCCCGGGACTCAACTTACCTACTACCTGTTTTTCCCGGGGACTCAACTTACCTACTACCTGTTTTTCCCCGGGACTCAATTTACCGAGTTAGGGTCATTTGGGACTCAATTTACCAAGCCCGGGGGAAACACAGAGGCCTAAAAGTTTTGTACTGTGGGCCCGACTGGATGATATATTGCTAGAATGCATATTTTCCTATCGTTGCGTTCCAAAATTTAACTGAGTTTTTTTCCTGCATGCCATAAAATTATAAAAGTTTACTAGGTATAGGTACTATACACATTATAAGTGAATAGTTGTCGTGTCGTTCAAATGTTAAACCTACAATTTAATTTTCTGAAAGACGTCAACGATAACTAAAACGTACTTACTACTTATCTTATTATTTTTAATGACATTTTTATATTATTTTTTGACTGAAAATGTAATAAAAGTTTTATTTTTCTAAAATGTTTCATGGTATAAAACTGGACATTTATTCTAAAATATGACATTATATTAAAATAATAAAGTTATTGAGATCATCAAATCATTTTAAATATTTTTTTATTTTTCAACAGACAATTTTTTTTTTTTTTTTTTTTTTTATTTGAATAAGGCTTCAACTCCTGAGGTTATTAGCCTGTAGTAAATACAAAATACAAAATAGTAGTCATAGAGTATTGATCTTAAAGCTATGGGGACACATTATGTTTAACAATAGAGGGAATTTGTAGGATAAATTATGTACATTCAATTATTTTTCTAAATTAATTTTGCTAAGCCTATGTTTTTGAAAAAATTGTATATGTTTTTGGAGTTATCTTCGCCAAGTGCTTGTTGCATTGTTAATGGGTTCCCGAGGATTTGTCTGGAGTTGGTGAACTTGGGGCATTCTAATGTGATGTGTTTGATTGTCAGCGCTTTGTCACAGAGTTCGCAGGTCGGGCTGTCTTCTTTTGTTATGAGGTGCAGGTGTGTTAGGCGGGAGTGTCCAATCCGGGTTCTTGTGGTAACTACTTCTTCGTGTCTGGATGAGGATGGGGGAGTTTTCCATGGGTCGATTGATGGTTTAATTTCTTTTAGTTTATTTGTGTTTGGAGTCTTCTCCCACGAGTCTTGCCAGTGACTTTTAGTTAGATTATTTATTTTTGAGAGTGCGTCTTGAAATGTTATTTTATTTATTAGTACCGAGCTGGGTGATGCTATTGCTTCGTTGGCTGCCTTATCAGCTAGTTCGTTGCCACTTATGCCAGTGTGGGAGGGGACCCATAGAAATTCGATTTTTTTTGTTGTGTTTGATAGCTTTTCTTGGATGGATTGAATTATTTCATTTTTGGGGTAAGGATTTTCGAGGGCTAGGAGTGCACTAAGGGAGTCACTAATTATAAGTATTTCTTCAGACACTAAGGTCGTCGCGTGTGAGATTGCATTTTGGATGGCTTGACTTTCAGCGGAAAAAATGCTGGTTTCGTGAGGAGATTTGAACATTGAAGTTTTGTTATTTTCTATGAATGCGAAACCGGTTCCATTTGGGGATTTTGAGGCGTCCGTAAAGATTTTTATGTGGTGAGGGTATTTTCCTTCTATTATTTCTAAAAAGTTATTTATTATAGTTGAGGTTGAGGAGATTTTTTTGTCGAATTCGAGTAGTTGGGTATTGAGCTTAATATTCCACATCCACGGAGGGGAAGACGGGAAGATAATTTTGTTAAACATAATTGGTTTGAACTTCATTATATCTGCTATGTTCTTATACGTGTCATCGATAGTGCGAGGTATGTTTGGACTGTTATGTATATTCAGAGGTCTTCTGGTTGGAACTTGAGTTTTGTTATTTGAGAATTTAGTTACAAATTTTAGTGTTTCTTTAATCCTTCTAAATTCAAGTGGGAGTTCTCCAGCGTTGCACATAATACTTGCAGTTGGGCTTGTGCGGAAGGCACCTGTGGCTAGTCTAATGCCTTGATTGTGTATAGGATTTAGTATATTGAGAATTTTGCTTCTGGCCGTATTATAAATGACTGCACCATATTCCATTTTTGCTAATATAATTGCTTTATATATAGTAATGAGGCTATTTTTTTCAGAGCCCCAGGAGTGGTGAGATAAGGTTTTCATAATTTTCATGTTGTTGTTTGCATTTATTTTTAGGTTTTTTAGGTGTGGGTTCCAATTTAATTTGTGATCGAAAGTCATACCTAGTATTTTTATTTTATCTGTATATGATATAATGGTGTTATTTAAATTGATGTGGAATAAGTTGTCATTACGTTTTTTGTGGAAGATGATACTTTGTGTTTTAGATGGTGAGAAATTGAAGCCTGTTGTGGTTGACCACTTGAGTAGTTCATCCAGAGCTTGCTGGATGAGTTCGACTGTTGTTTTTATGTTCACGCCACTACAGAAAATGTTACAATCATCTGCAAAGATGGTATACTTTATAGGGGGAAGGATATTGTCAAATATATTATTTATTGCGATTAAGAACAGGGTGACACTGATGACTGAGCCCTGGGGGACTCCATTTTCAGTGGTATGAGTTGTTGATAGTGTTTCACCAATTTTTGTTTGGAATGATCTGTCCTGTAAGAAGTTAGTGATGAATGTAATCATGTTTCCTGAGATGTTCCATTCACGTAGGATAAAGATAACTCTTTGTCTCCAAACCATATCATATGCTTTTGTTAAGTCAAGCGCTACTAGGATTGTGTGTTGGTTTACTTTGGCTGCGTTACATATATGGGAGTGAATATTGGATAAAGTGTTGAGTGTGGAGTGATTTTTCCGGAATCCACATTGCTCTTTATTGAATTTTTCGGAGACTTCTAAGTGCCATATGAGTCTTGAGTTAATTATTTTTTCGAGTACTTTACATAGTGTGCTTATTAGAGAGATGGGACGATAGTTTTCTGCGTGAAATTTGTTTTTATCTGGTTTGGGTATTGGGATAATAATTGCTTTGCGCCATTGGTTGGGGAAAAATCCGTATTCCCATATTGAGTTGTAGACTAGAAGAAGTTTTTGTAGGGCGAAGGAGGACAGATGATGTAGGAATATGTAAGGGATGTCGTCAGGGCCTGGGCTTTTGCTTTTACACTTCAGGAGTGCCTGGTTGAGTTCATCCATACTGATAGTGGAGTTGTATGAGTCTTCACTGTGCTGTGGTAGGCTGTCTGTGACAGATGAGTTCTCAACTTCATTTTTGTGTTTTAGGAAGGATTTCGTATGGTTTTGGTTACTGTTGTTTGTCTGGAATAGATCGGCGAAGGCTTGGGCGATGTCCGGGCTAGTTTTGATAAATTCATCTTTGTATTTAATGATATTGGGTGTCGAGTTGAACTTGTTTCCTTTAAATGTTTTAATTTTGTTCCACATAGTGGTAGCAGAGGTTTGTTGGTTGATTGTGGAGACGAATGCTTTCCAGGCTACACGTTTGCTATTTTTGGTAATAAACCTTGATTCTGCCCTAGCTTTTTTAAGTGCTATGTGGTCTGACAAAGATTTAGTTTTTTTAAAACGGTTTAGTTTTTTTTTGTAATTTTCAATAGCTTCTTTGCATTCGGGGTTCCACCATGGTGCTATCTTGGTGGCTTTGGAACGGGAAGATTTTCCTATGGATATATTTGCCGCGTTTACAATAATTTCGGTGAGGGAAGCCACTATGGAGTCAATTTTGATTTGGTCTATGTCTAATTCATCAGCATTCTTTTTGGCCCAGTCTTGATTTTCTAAGTGGTGATCGACCAGCTCAGTGAAGAGATTCCAGTTGGCTTTGGTAAGTTTCCATCGCTTAATTGGTTCATCGGGTGTAGATTGGTTGAAAATGTTAAGGTGGATTGGCCAATGGTCGCTTCCGTTATATTCAGTTAGTACTTTCCAGTCTAATTCAGGGGCGAGATTAGTGCTGGATATTGTTAGATCTATGGCTGATAAAGAACTGTTTGTGGAATTGTGTCTTGTTGGGTCACCATTATTTAGAAGTATTAGTGAAGGATTTTCTAATAATTTTTCTATCGTTTTCCCACGGCTGTCAGTGTGTGATGATCCCCATAAGATGTTTCTGCTGTTGAAGTCGCCCAGGATTAAGAAAGGTTTGGGGAGTTGTGTTATTATTGAATTTAGATCAAGGAGAGAAAGGGGGGTGCTGTCAGGGAAATAAATATTGCATATAGTTATTGTTGTCTTGAGAATGACCTGAACTGCTATTACTTCCAAATTTGAGTTGACATATATTTCCTTGCTGTTAATATTGTTTTTGATGTATGTTGCAACTCCGCCACTGGCTCTGAGTGCGTCGGGTCGATTTTTTTTATATCCGGAGTATCCGTTAATGTTTCCTATGTGTAGGTTTTTGAAATTAGTTTCTTGTAGGCAAATAATGTCAGGATTTTGTTCATATTTAATACGGTTTATATCGGTGTTGTGTTTGTAAAATCCGTTGCAATTCCATTGAATTAGTGAACTCATGTTTAGGTAATGGGGATAGATTTTTGAGTAGTTTTATTGATTAGATTGATTCAAGTTGGAAGTCTGCGGAGTTGACTGTACGGAGGGAGGTATAGATTGGAATAGAATTGTAGATAGTTTAGATATTTTGTTTTTTATTTTTTTTTCCACCATTAATGGTAATATTTTTTCGGCCATGTCAAGGACTTCAGAGGCATTGGATCCAACGTTAATACATAGGTCATGTATGTTTAAATTTTTGTTTGTGAAGTTTTCCAGGATATATTTGAAAGAGATTAGATTGAGGGGGGAGTCTTTGTTCTGCAGGATAGCCGTTGCTGGCTCAAGAAGGTTATCTAGTATTTCGGAGGTTCTTGTTGAGGAGTTTGATCTTGATCTGGCTTTAATTTTTTTTGTGGTTTGGTTTTTAGACTTTGTGTTTTTGACAGCAGGTGTACCCTTACCTAACTCAATTATGTCGTTGGTCAGCGTGGGGGAGGGAGGCGCTGACGGGCATGTGGATTCAGGGGCTGGCCTTTTGAAAGTAGCTTGGAGTGGTTGTGAGTCCGATATATCATCGTAGTTATCGTCTTTGGTGATTTGTGTATTATTTGTGTTGGATATTTCGCTAGTGGTTTCTAGAGGTAGATCAGGAGTCACGTCCATACTAATGGTTTTTTCGACGATTTGATGGGATGAGGTATTAGTGGATGTTTGTACATTTGAGGTGTCCATATTTTCTGTCAGAGAGGGAGTTGTGTATATCATCTTACAAGAGGATGATACATGGCCGGGTTTTTTGCATAAAAAGCAGGTTACGATGTCATCGGTAATGAATATACGGTATGAGGTGTTGTCGAGGACAATAACGATCGATCCAGGTAGTTTTGGGAAATCTTCAGGACTGATGTACAGTTGTCTGCGGAAGCTAGTGATATGTGCGAATTTATCGAGCGGGAAACCAGCTTTAAGCGCCGTGATTGGAGATGTTATTTTAATACCGAATGTCTCTATCGCCTCGATGATAGATTTATTCGGAATAGCGGGATATACGTTCGATAAAATAATGCGTTTGGCCGGGTTAATTAACTTGCGTATCGGTATCTCAATATTATCAACGAATATGGCCGAGTGCTTGTTAATGATGTCATTAGTAATCTGTTGGTTTTTGAAGAAAACGCAGAACCTATTATTAGATATGCGCGAAGCGGAGATAATGTTGGTTGCGTCAGTAATTTTACTGAGCGCTATAATGTATTGTATTTGTTTAATTCCGTCGATTGAGTTCATAACGATAGCTTGATTCATTTTTGGTATGAGAGAGTTGGCTGTTGTTTCAGCGAAACTTTTAACTTGGGAGCTGTCTATTGGATGATTTGGAGTGGGTTGAATGTTGTTGGTATCATTGATGATGAGGTTGTCTTGAGTTGAGGTGGTTTTGGGTGAGGGGATAGGTGTTGAGTGTTTGGACGCTAATAATTTATCATTAAGAGATAGTTTATTTGGGTTTGAATTTAAGTTGCCCGATGTTGTAGGCATATTGGTGGTGATTGCGAATGAACGCAATTTAATATCGTAATTGATTTTAATTAGGAAGATAGCTAATCGCGCTTAATAAAATCATATTACCAGTTTATCGTAGAGCAGAGTAGGAACACTTCTAACGGTAGATAAAAATGCGGTTGCGATAAGGCTACACACGTGTTGCTCGGTCGGGAGTCAAACACGAACTGTCAACAGACAATTATAACTTAGCAGTTGTAATATTATTATAATTATCATTTATAAACAATGTGATCACAATAGTATTGACGTTTCACATCGTGTGTTGTAAAGGGAACTACAGAGTCCGGAATATAAGGCGAACACAGGAGTCGGATCTCCTGCATGGATGGCACCAGAAGTAGTTTTGGCTGAATACAAAGACAGTGAACAACCATATTACGATCAGAAAATCGACGTTTGGGCAGTCGGTAAGTTCGTTTCGATTCGTGTATAATAACTTACCTAGTGAAAATTTGGGAAACATAAATATTTCAATAAAAATAATATTTTGTTAATATTGTAGTTTTGTCCTTGGTGTATTGAAAAAAAATAGGATAAAATATTATTTAATTTTACCAAATAGGCCATATTGTTAATGACGTTACAGTTAACGCATACTCTAAAATTTTATTATTATTTTTTTTTTAGGTATTACTGCTATTGAGTTAGGTGACGGTAAACCACCGTACCTCGACATCCACCCGACGAGGGCGTTGTTCCAAATTGTTCGAAATCCGCCCCCAGGACTATCCAAACCGTCAAACTGGTCGCAATTGTTTAATGACTTCATTGCCGAGTAAGCAATTACATTTAATGCGTGGGAGGAGTAAGGGGAGGTTGTTCATTGTGATTTGTGGTTAATATCGCGGCTGTGTTACCATAATATTAACCACAAAAACGAAAACGATCGATTAGTAGTGTGTAATATAATATATAATGTTTATGGTATATTATTATAGTTGTTAATTTATATTTATAAATATTATATATCATATACTTTGGTGGGCAGGTGGCCACCTGGAAATTCATTTTAACAATTTAATCGAATATCGTGTCCGATATCGATGATACGCATTGTGTTATTGAAACGAAACACTACAAATATTGTTCATAATATAGTTAAAGACTTCATATAGGCGGTATCCCAGTAGAAAATAATAATCTGTAATAGTATATAATATTAAACTATACATACCTACACCACGCTACACAGTACCTACCTGTCTTTAATAATAAGTCATCCTATTACATACCTATGTAATATACGCTACTTAACTTACTTGACCATCAGACCATTGGATACGTAAAAAAAAATGTAATCATATCAGTGTATTGATTTTTTTTTTTTTAGAATTTTACATAAAAATTATTATTTTTAGATTCTGAGCGGAGCGATGAATGTATTGGTTTTACAATGATGTGTGTTTTTATATTTTTATATTTTTATATTTTTATATTTTTTTTTGTGTCTGTCATCACGTTTTGGGACAGTAAAAGTGCTTCGATTTTCTTCAATAGTACCTTTTCTGATAGGAAAGTGAATCTAGTTGGTACTTTGGGGGGTCAAAAGTAAACATTTTCCAGTAGTTTTCACAAGCGCCGGGAAAAACAACATAAAAATTAAGGAAAAACGGGAATTTTTACGCAAAATCGATTTTCCAAAAAATCGAATTTGGTTATTGGTGTGACTTTAAAACAAATGACCGTAGATACATGAAATTTTCACTGGTTGTTTATATTTGCATTTTCTATACACGATAACATTTTCAAAATATTTTGATTTATTTTGAACTGTTTAGGGACATTTTCATTTTTCATTTTTTTTTAGTTTTTTTTCTAGAAATATCAATAAAATTTTATTTGTTGGTTGCGAAAGCTTGAAAATTTAATAGAAGGCTCCTAATATGTTGTTTCAAAGGCAGATGAAAAATATTAAAAATCCTTAGTCACAATTTTTTTTTACAAGCATTTAAAGTTCAAAAATTGACAAAATATGGAAAAATCACGAAAATTAGCAAATTATTTTGAGTTAAGAATTCGTAAAAATTTTTCTTTTTAAATCTAAGATTTGAAAATGAAACACAAGATTCCTTATAAGATTATCTACCTTTATCAATAAAAAAATCTCTACCGGACAGTCAAATTAAATTTTTAAGAGCGTTTGAAATTCAAATTTTTACAACATTGGATTTTCACTCGATTTCTCATGTAGCGATTTCCTTATTTTGTTGCAATTCAAAAACGAATAACTGTAGATACATGAAAATTTCACTGAATGTTTATATTAGCATTTCCTATACACCATACAATTTTGAAAATATTTTGACTCTTTTTGAGCTGTTTATGGACATTTACGGCTTTCAATTTTTTTTAGTTTTTTTTTCTATAAATATCAATAAAGTTTTATCTGTTGGGCCAAAAAGTGTAAAAATTTAATACAAGGCTCCTGATATATTGTTACAATATCAGTTGAAAAATATTAAAAATACATAGGCACGATTTTTTTTATAAGCATTTAAAGTTGGAATTTTGACAAAATTTATCAAAATCTCGAAAATTATCAATCGTTGGAATTAAAAAATTATAAAATGTTCAGTTTTTATAACTAAGAGTTGAAAATTTAAAACAAAGATTCTCTTAAATAATTCATACTGTAACCAAAAAATCTAAAAAATATATGAACACACTTATTTTTTACAGACATTTTAAATTCAAATTTGGACGAAATTACATATTAAAAAACCTAGAATAACTATTTTAGTTATTTTGTTGTGATTGAATAATATTATTCGTGGGTACTTGAAACTTCTAAAGTGTACTATTATATATCTATGATAGTATCACGGTTTTTGTTGATGTATAACGCGTTATATGTATCTAATGGATATTGTGATATGATTAATTTGGAATTTATTATAGGTACCTATTATAGGTCAATTTTTTGTTTAATACCATAGATATGTATATAATATGCCTTATACATAGACTGACATACCATCACCGCTCAGAATCGTTTTTCTTATACAATGATATTATATCATTGAATTCAAATTTAATACCATCCATTATACAGTGACCCACTTGTAACCTACTGTACAGCAGAGCGACACCCACTTGCCCACCTTTTTTAATATTAAACCGTTGTATTAACGAATATTAATTAATTACGTCAAATTGTAGATAATTTCTCTTAATAAAGATGGGTTTTTATTGAATTGTAACTTATGATGTGTAAATATTAAATACAGACTAAAGTTTTAAGTGGCCCGGTGCCGGTTTTTCAAATTTTCCACGAAAACTTCCTACAGACCGCATTGAACTCTGATATCAGGGTAGAATATTACTCTCAATAAGTAAAAAAAAAAAAAATCAAATTTGGTTGATTCTACAGAACAGGATCATTATTCCCGTAGAGCGTATTTTTGTGGACAAATTAACTTTGGCACCGGGTGCTCTAATCATTTGTAGAATATTTCATTTTTCTATGTATTTATATAAATTTAAAATTATGTACTTACTTGTGCATTTCAATTTTACTATTCATTTATTTTCTCTGAGCTCATTTTTTTTTATAAGTTTAACGTAGTTGCTTTACACTGAAAATTATACACTGATGAAACATTTAACTTAAGTTTATTTAAGAATCCTTCAATCTTTCAGAACATTTCGAAAAACTATAGATTATGTTATTTATTCGAATAGGTATTAAAATTTCTAAAATTGTTAGTTAAAACCTTTTTTTATGATTGTATGATATGTAGTTTGTACTAATAATGTATTATAAAAAAAAATAAAAAATACAATAAATATCCATAAGAGACCTTCTTAAAGTATTAACTACTTGTACCTTATTTCCGCAATATAGGGGTAGATAGATTGATGTTTTCGAGCAAAGCGAACAACTTTTTTTTTAAAATAATTTAAGGTATTTAGGTATTATTGTAACTTAGGTTGGTGAAAAAATATGCCCATGGACTTTTTTTTAGTCTATATTCACTGACTATTCACCTTCTAAATATTTTTTTATCTTTATAATTACATTCATCACTTTGTTTATAGGCTAATAAATAGCTGTTTAAAATCTTAATTTTTTTGAGCATTTCAATTTTACGAATATACTGTTTAAGATTTAATTTTATAATACCATATTTTATTAATCTTGAGTTGCTTGTTTATTTTTTGATATTTTTATACATTTTTAAAAGTGTTATGGTTGTTATTCCATCTAAAATAAACACAAGGTTAGCTAAAACTCATTACAAATACCACAAATCGCAACAAATTTTTAAAGGTTTATCAAAAACCATCTATTGAAGTATTTATTTATGAGTACTAGTACCTACGGAAAACTCAAAAACATCATCAGATTCATTCAATATCGTTTTTCGCATTCAATGATTGTCGTGCTTCAAAAATAACAATACAACAGACATTGATCAACAGATCATTTCAACGATGCGTTAGCGAAGCGTGCGACCGACGTGTGTCCACCTCCCATGCCATTGTCTGCATCATTCAGTCTGTACATAAACTTAACCTGTTAATTCGCTACTTAAAACCGTACTCTATTATTAGTTCATTTTTTTTAATAGTACATTTAAAATATTAAAAACAAAACGCGTTTGGAAAAAAAAAGTAAATACTATCTAGGCGTTCTGAAACAATGGACATGGCGTAACTAACCAGTCAGCCCGTTCGTTTTTTTATAGGTCATGTATGTAATGCGGTATACTGTAAACAAAATGTCGAACAACAAGTAGGTGCCTAATATTCTCGACATATTGACTGGCGATACAAAAGAAAAGCTGGGGACGGGGATATCCCCGGTAACAAGTGGTTATGCACTTTGGAGCCAAAGAAAGGATATTCAGATATTATCAGATCAAGGGAACGCCGTTGTAATTAGCTTAAACGGCTTATGAGTACTTTCGTTTAACAGGAACAAAAGAATATTCGACGTTTTAAAACATATAATGTGTGTTCACAAGTGTATTTTTCGCCGAGTACCTTAATAATGTCAATAAGAGCTATATTTTATACAAATTACCACTTTCATGGTGTCTTTTGTCATATTTTTTTTATTTAACATCAAATATTCAGATTGTGATTAATTCAATATGGAAATCAAACACTTTATTGCAGAATAAATCGTAGGGCCTAATCTCCTGCAATCTCCGTAGTAATGTCGCAGCTTATTATACTCTAAATAGTATCGACTATAATTGCATTCAAAATACTTTTTCTGGTTTTTCCAATGATTTGTATTGCACTATTATAATATATTAATTGATGGGAAAGTTTGACTTTCAATAACATACAGTATTTTTAAGCGTATGTATACATTTTTTAAAAATACGTATCCTATACCTGAAATCAGTACCTACACCAATACTTGAATTAAAAATACAAATTAGAACTGCAAAATAATATTATTAAGTCATATGTCTGTCAGTTTAATCAGATATATTTTATGCTATTGCGCCGCACATTAAAAAACAATTAAATATGTAGTCTTGAACTATATCAATACCATAATAACAGTATTTTTCAAATTATATCAGGTGCTTAGAAAAAAATCCTGATCACCGTCCATGCATGGAAGAGCTTTTAGAACATCCGTTTATAACTCAAGTTCCAGAAAATGTAAGTTTATACTAAACATATTATTAATGACAAAATTATATAATATGAATTAAAATTAATAAAGTTAATAATGTTTAAAAGAAAATATATTTAATATCAGATACAAGTGTTATAAGTACTAGTTAGTTCTTAAGAATACAAAACCATTTTTATAGAACATATTATTTTATATGGTTAATATCGTCTTTTGAAAATTAATATTGTTTTACATTTCATACAGATAACGTTGCCATGCTTGAATACAAAAAATTACTTATGATTTCAGGTACAACAAGAAGTCAAGTCAGTGATGTCATCAATTGTTGACGACGTGACGTCTATCCGAAAATCAGAAGTCAGGATTATAAAAACTGGACTCTTAAAAGCAAGTATAAATGTATAATATATAAAATTAGTCATAGATCAAAGATATAGTATGACCAAATATTTACAACCATATAGTTTGTTGTTTTTCTATTTTGTTATAATTTTTAATTTTTCTCTTTTTGATTTACTAGTTATAACGTATAACAGTATCTTTCTGAGAATTCAGATTAAAAAAAATACAATTTGGAGAGAATTTTATCAAATGATTGGCAGATGAGAAATAGGAAACAATTATGTAATTCTTACTAGTTGCTAGGTACTTTAATCTTTGATTTGGAATATTGTCAAATATTTTCTTTATAACTTGTAATAATTTAAATTGATTCAGAAAATATTTAATAATGTTTAATATTATACTCGACATTAGTATGTATCCACTGACCATTATATGCAATTTCAAATATATATTTTTCAATTCAAATTTAAAACGAATATTATACTAAAGTCAGTAGATATCGCATACAATAAATACCGTCATAGATCACAAATTAATATGTAAATAATTGTATGGTATGCGTATTTTGTACGTTTTACTTAAAATAAAAACTTCAATATGACTGCCAATTTAAAAAAAAAATATTAATCGACGCAAAGAGTGAAAGTAAAATGTATTTCAACGTACCTATATTGGTTTGAAACTTGACGAGTATTATACGATCAACTGTCATTTCGATGACGTTCGTATTGATGAACGTCTCTACTACTTGATTCGTCTCGAGAAAATACAAACTGCGACGAAGTTTACCAAATAACATATTTAATTTTACGAACAAGTAAAAATCCCACTTGAACGTGTGCTTGTAGGTAGGTACGCGTTTTTTAATTTATTGCATTTCGGCACATTTAAATACCAATTATCAGAATATACAATATAATATATGTTTAAAAACGAAAAAAAAATACACGACTACTATAAAGAATTGAAAAGATGTGTGGTTCTATCATCGGACAAGACATAAGGGAAGCGAATCTAGCGAGGAGAGCTAAACAAACCGCACGTCCTCCGCGAACCCCGTCGCGTCCATTGTCTTGGAAAGTTATTATAATTGTTATTGAGCGTGTGCGGTACAAAATGCGAATAATTGCGTTCCACGCAACGGCTAGAAATTCGACGTGTATACGACGTACACATCTCAGATGATGAGAATGATTTATGTTACAGGTGAATCAAAAGGAACCTGCCAAACCCATGCATCTAGAAGATTTAGCCGCGTTGAAAGAGGTGTCCGAAGAGACCGTTCTCGACGAATTGCAAAATCGCCATTTGGACGGTCTGAGCTACACGTTTGTCGGTGACGTGCTGTTGTACTTGAACCCGAATCGAGATGAGCCTCTCTACGAGAAAAAGGTAATAACAATGATAAATAAATACCCAAGTTACTCGACGCGTTTTAAAATGTTTTTTTTTTTATTATTATTATATAATTACACAGAGATAGTATAACACCTCTGACGTACCTATATAATATTCTGCGAGTACCTACTATATATTAAAATCAAATAGGTACATGTAAAAATGAAACGTAGTAGGTCATATTGTTATGGTAATACATTATAATATTATAAAAAGTTATATTATTATCTGAGCTGAATTTTGAAAACTCCCTAGTTCTATTTATTTTCACATGACAATTTATTTTGATTATTATTTGATTTAATTCTTGTTATTTTCAAAATAAATTACGATTTAACATTTGAAGTAATGTTATAGGTAGGCACCTACATTTATATATTAAGTTACAGAACATATAAGGAAAAAACCTTATACTGATTACATTATACAACAGAGGCACAGAGCATAATTTCAACATATAAACTAAAAAGTTATCAATAATTGTGATTTGTGTAACTAATTTACATAATTTGATTGTTATATTGTCTCTCAAACAAGTCTATATTGAATATTCCATATTATAATAGTTTTGAAAATATCAAGTACGATAGTATAACGATTTACTTCGTTTACTTATACCAGGTAAGGTATACTCTGTTATATGTTATTATTGTCGTACGTTTCAGCACCATTATCGTTATCAATTCAAATGTCGATCCGATAACGCGCCTCATATATTTAGTGTGGCCGATGCAGCTTATCAAGACATGCTACACCACGAACAGCCACAACACATATTGATGGCGGGCGAAACTAAGTCGGGAAAATCGTTGAATTACGGGAAATTAATCGAACACTTGGTGTTCTTGGGAGAGGTTTGTATTTTGTTTTCGTCTGTTACAATACAATTAGACATTGGTAGATAAACGTGTGTGATATGTATCTTTATAGGAGGTAGAACGTTACAATAATATTAATTCTTTATTAACGTAAAAAAATGTCCAATAATTATTACATAAAATAAAATATAACGACAGTGGTGTATAGTGTATACTATATACCTATAGTCTATACATATATATATACATATATGTAACAAGTAATGTTATATTAGTTACGTATAGGCTTATAGAAATAAGAAACAAAACAAGAAATATATAAATATTAAATAACTACCTATATACATTATACACTTAAAAATATAATGCGATATATTATGTCCTCCAGGCCCCCCGATTATATTGTGTAGTATATTATACTTATTATTATTAATAAAATATATTGCTCTCTCGAAACCAATGATATTGGTAAATATTATAATAATATATTAATATAAGTGCAACGATAAATATTCAAAAACAATATTAAATTCTACCAAGTATGCCTACTGCAAATATACGGATTATAAACTTATAACAACTTATAACCTTATATTATTATAATATGGCTGAAATCATATTATTATGTTTAATGTTTTAAGCAAAACCACATCAAAGTGAACGACATCGGTTTGAAAATAAAGTGCGCTATAGACGTGATTCAAGCATTCGGAAACGCGGCCAACAAATATCACATAAACTCCACTCGGCACGTGAATCAGACGCAAATTACGTATTCTTCCACTGGCAAGATCAGTGGTGCAATATTTTTCATCTACCAGTTGGAGAAATGGAGAGTAACAAACACCAAGTGAGTGGTTACAATTTCGTTTAACACTAGAACAGTTATATAAAATATAGAATTATAATAGTTTACCGCATACCACGTTTATGTTTTTGACGGTTATGGTCTACACGTAAATTGCCTATAGCCACCAGACATAGGTACTATTATATTATTTCCATTAATATTTTTCGATAAGATTCTACCCGTTCCATCGTATAGTTTTAAAAATAATTATGCTTTGGGACAAATTGAAGTTACAGTTGAGATTCTAGGAAAGATCAAGCTTTACTTAAATTGACTCCAAGTCAGACGTGTGAAGTAGCTAGTATAGTGAATACTTTTGAAGTTTTGATGCATCAAGAACAACAATTAATAGTAATACATTAATACATTGATATCCTCTTAAAAAGTTATTAATATACTTATCTACTTTTAATTCAATCTTTGTGGTTATACAAAATTACATTAATGTATAAATATTAAATTACTCTTTTTATCATAGATACATTTAAGTGCTTAAACTGAGTATTGACTAATAATGAAATTGTAATATTGAAAAATTACAAATAAACTCAATAACTGCGTGCAAATAATTCTTGAAATTAAACACAGATTTAAAGTTTTAAAAAGCTGATACTATTTTTCACTGTGTAACCTAAAGGAGAGTATGATTTTTTTTTCGGGGATTGCTTTTGAAAAAAAATCAGTTTTCTGTTATTTACAATTAAAACGTTACAAGATTGCATTTATCGTTATTTAGAATTCAAACGTTCTACAATAGTTTAGCGTTTATCGTTATTTAGAATAGTCTTAATACCTATTAAATGTATTGATAATAACTAATGCAGGTCCATGGCCCGGATACGGAGTATAATATAAGTAATCAATTCTAATGTTCGTATCCACGAAATAAATATTTCTATGAAACCAAAATAACATTTAAATAAATGGATTACAAATTATTTCGTTTTGAGGTATTTTTCATTCAATCAAATTCTTTAAATTACGTTTTGCGTTTTGTTTTGTTGAATGATATATTTAATATTATAATATATTTTGTTAATCGTTATGTTTTGTTTTGCGGTATTTAATTATTTTTGATTTCTGTTATAATTACGCTTACAAATTGCAATCATTTGTTGTCAAATATAACGTTATAATCATAACGATATTAACGATATAAATACAGTTTAAATGATACATATTGTAATCAAATAGGTAATTATAATTATTTATTGATTGCTCAAAAATAATAGCATAATATTAGCCATTGGTATTAAATGTATATTTATCTATTAATAATATAATTAAAGTAATATTTTATTTTATACATATAACAAATAAAAGTATGAAAGGTACCACTGTATATATAATGTATTGGATTTTTTTGTTTTTTAGGTGTAGTGGACAAAAGAATTTCCACGTGTTCTACGATTTCTTGGAGGCGGCCAAAGCCGATCATGTTTTTAAGCAATACCACTTGGAGGAGGACCATCGATATCGGTACTTGGTGGGTGACGGTTCAGACGAGCGTTTTCGGTACCAACCCAAGTCAAACGTGAAAAACTTCAACAAACTGTTGACTTGCATGAAGGACACGTTGGAGTTTACAGACGAACAGTTGAACACAACATGGCACATTTTGGCGGCCATACTCAACCTTGGCGAGTTGAGCGTTTCCGACGATGATGATGCCGAGACCAAGATCGAAAGCGCCGAACTACTCACGAAGAGTAAGTAATGGCAGTCCTATAAAACATATTCGGACCATCTCCTCCTCGCTTCTAATGAGAACTGAGCGTCCCAGAAAATGAAATGTTTTTTTAGAATATTAATAAATTGCAAAAAAATCAATGAATTTTATTCGATTTTGTTTATAATGCAATTTCTGCTTTCTCAGTACAAACACGCTGGTATTAGAATATATTTTATTTTATTCGTAAGTTATTGTAATATACCTATTACATTGTAGACTTATCAAATCATTCAAATCCAAAAGTACCTACAACGTTTCGTAACCGGTCTCACTGCAGACCGAACACACCGATTTTTATTAAATAATAGTAATAAAAATATTAATTACCCTAACGCCCACGTTCCTACTGCTTAAACACGACACCGTCGCGCACACTAAACGTGTTTATTATGAATATGTTATAAACAATAATTATTATACAAACGCGCGGAGATAGTGATCAAATCACAAACAATTTGTGTCCGCACGAATTATTTCTAAAAATCGCTCCGGGCGAATGACGCCTACGTGTTCTCGTGACGAAAATAGTTGAGTTTTAATTTTGAATATCATAACGATACAGTATAATAATATTACACGCATTGTAATTTCTATGTAGGTAGGTATAGGCATTAGGCAGATATTCGTAAGTAGTATACATTTGTATGTTGTGAGCACCTTTTTTTAAAGAGAGATTCCTTCAGTTCAAGAGAGCATTTCTACAACACGACATTTGAAAAAGTATGGTGTTTAAACAGTTTTTGTGATCGTGTAACACATCACAGAACTTGTGTAAATAATTTGTTTTGAATTCATATTATAATATAATTGTATTAGTAAATAAAATAATATTTAACAAATAATATATATTTATCGAATTGTTCTTTTATACTTAAAAATAGTATTATATACTACTAAACGAAAAATAAAAAATATATAAATATTTTGTTTGTGTACCAGTTCTGTGATGTGTTACACGATCACATTAAAATGTTCAAAAATCATACTTTTTAAATTTTGTGTTACACAGTGGAGTATGTGGAAAATTCCCATCAAACTAATGAAATTTTCCTGTAAAAAAGGTGTTCAGAATTTACATTACACTTTTTGAGATTATTTGTTACACGGTGGAGAGTGTAGAAATAGCCGCTTGAATTAAAGGAATCTCTCTGTAAAAATAGGGCTCAGAACGTACAAATTTATACTACTTAAGTACTCTCTACGTTTTAACGAGCGTGTTGTACGAAATCGTATAAAATACTAATATATCGAAACGATGTAGAGTTACCGACCATTTCCCAGAGTTTCGATTATTATTATTATTGTTATATTATTATGCACCTATATTAGGTACTGAGCACGTATTTCGTTACCTATCGGAAAATGAGTTTTAAGATAAAAATGTTTCAATTTCATCAATAATAATATGTTTTCTATGCTTGTACGGACTATAATAATATCATACTTCACCGAGTCGCATAATAAAATAATAATATTAAATATTAAGAGCGTCCAAGTTACGTACTGTAAACGAACAACACATTGTCAATTTTTGTCAACTATTAAAAACATATGTACTAGCCGTTTTAAAATGTTCATCCGTATATTTTGTGAAACGTAAAAATCTTTGTATTTTCACAATATACAATAATTTGCCCTGTTCGCGATGAAATAATCACTCTGACACTCAACCAATATTTAGTAAATTACAGCTGATAGTCACTTCGGCCACAGGTCATTCGACGAAATTCGTGTTTTTTTTTTGTTTTCAGTCGCCGAATTGTTGGAAGTGGACTCGAAGAAACTGAGCTGGTCGTTGTTAAATTACTGTGTGGTGGTCAACGGCACTGCGGTTCGTCGCAAGCAGACGGTTTCGGGGGTGTACGAGTGTTTGAGAGTGTTCTCCCAGACATTGTACGCCAGACTGTTCGATTGGATAGTGAACGTCATCAATCTGAAACTATCGTTCACCAGGGCCATATTGTGAGTAAACCGATTGGATTTCGTCTCGATTGCGAAAAATAACTATACCTACTTACCTGTAGTTTTACAACTAAACACAAAACGATGACACTCATACTGTTATATTATTATTATGATATTATTGTGATATGAGTTTAATATTATATTGTATTGTGCTGTGACATCATCGAGAAAATCCAACTGTTCGCAGCGGAGACACGCACGTGGTGTATTTGATGGACTCGTTCGGGTTCGAATGTTTCCACCTGAACAATTTGGATCAACTGTACGTCAACTGTCTAAACGAGCAACTCCAGTACCATTACAATCAACGGATGTTCGCTTGGGAAATGGTGAGTGAGGATGGGTAACCAAAAAAGTCTATAGATATATAAGTATAATATTATTGTATATGAGTGGAAATATAATATTACTGTCGAACGTTGTTTAGCATAATGATAAAAGTTCAGCACTGGACTGCAATAACATTAATTATTATTTCTAATCGATTTGGGTGACGTTATCGTATATAACGAGTTACAAGTTATAAATTTATTGAAGTAATGACCATCCCCATTTTTCGAATTAAAACTTTGATTTTTACATTTTTAAAATATATACTTAGAAATCATATTATACTCAAACAATTCTGATTTTTTGTACTACTTAAAGAGTCCTATACACACTTCTGTTTTTCAAATATGAACCACCCTTGTTTTTTGAAAATTGTTTTGTAAATAATTTTTCTGAAAATGTTGACATATCTAATTCATTACAATAGACACTCTTCAAGTAGTACAAAATAACCCAATGGTTTAAAAATATGGTCATCAAGTATAGGTATAGGTATATTAAAATATTTCAAAAATTAGAATTTGATTTCGTTCTCATTATTAAATGAAAAAATAGGAGTGAACATACTTGGTGAATCACCTATTCGCCCTGTATACTTTCACACTATTATTATGTGATATGACAGCTAGATCCAGCAACGGGTCGAGTAGCACTTAAGAAATTTAAAGCATTCACGACAATAATGCAGATTATGATGTGTACCTATATAAAGTATGTTATTATCATTACGCGCCTGTCCATAAAATATACAAAAGAATCTTCGCATTGTTTTATGTTCTTTTGTAAACGATCGTTCTTATGGTTCGATATGCCAGTTGCGTAAATCATGGCATCTTTATATCTTATTTTTCTATGGTTTGTCGGCTCTGCGTCGACAAACAGACTAATCAAAGTGTCTGTGCAGCAAGACTTGGAGGAAGAGGGCATGGACCAGTACAGCATGCAGTACCGAAACAATAAACCGATAATAGATGCACTTATGAATAACCCAGATGGACTTTTTTACATGTTTGACGATGCTACTAAAAACTGTGAAGAAAACTGTGAATATATCACAAGTAATAAACATATACCATTAATAGTCGTACTATAGACTACCTATAGCGTAGTAATAACCAATACAATAATATAATATATTTTCATGAATTCCTAACAAATTAATAGCGGAGTATATATTTTAAAATGTATTTTATTGGGGAATTAAAAACGATAATATTATTATGGTTGTTATTCAATTAAAATACATTTTTGTATTAATCATTTTTTGAACTCAGTGCACTAAAAGTTATATTAGTATAATACTAGAACATAATCGGTATTCTTAGATTGTATTAAACAATCATTATTATCTAAAACCTTACTATTTTGTAACTATCTATTTGTAATTTCAATTATTGTATGAAAATTATAAAGATACTAAATTCATTTTTCACATTATTATAAAGCAATAAAAAATGATTTAAAAAAAGTTATTTTAAGCAGTTGCTCGAACATTTACTTTACTCATTTTTAATGTACCAATAAACCATAATATAATCTGTGAGTACATGTGAATAATGTTTTGATTCGTATAATAGATGCACTAGAGATCAACCCCAAGGAACCATACATCCACGTGGCCAGTTCAAAGAGCTTTAGTGTGGCGCACTATAGTGGCACCGTCTCGTATCAACTGAAAGATATACTTGAAAAAAATCGTGACTTCTTGGCACCTGAAGTTGTCGAGACAATGCGTATGTCCAAAGACAACGTGATAAAGGACTTATTCTCCAACCGGTTGACAAAATCTGGAAATCTAACTGTGTGCAGAGAGAAGACTTTAATGGTAAAAACTAAAAACAGCAAAATCAGTCGATGGGGCGCTGCCTTGATGTCAGAAAAAACTCCGATTCGAGTACGTAAAAATAATAATAATAATAATAACATTATAATATAACTTATACGTGGTTTTTATTTCTATATATAAATTAAATAATCAATATTCCGCTCAATTTAAGTGTCTAAAATAAATATTACAAAAAGTATAAACATTTAAAAATATTTTTATTATTTTACAGCTACATGTTTTTCTAAAACTGTATAATATTTTAATTGAAAAAAAACATGAATCTAAGTTGTTAAATCATTTATTTTAAAGTTCATAATTTACAAGTGTAGACACTTGTATTTTTTTTATCGAAAAGTAAAAACGCTGTTGAGAAATGTTTAGGGTATCAAAATCCTTAACGTTTAGAATAAGTTATGTAGAGTGAATCAAAAATAAATCAATTTATGTATTTAAAGTTGGAACAGATATTAAAAAAACTCCAACATATAAAAAAAAACAAATTTTTACTAATCCAAATAGGTATGTTTTCGTAATGTACAAACATTTTTATGTAAAAAATATAATCAAAAAAAATGTATATACCTAAAAGACTGAAAGCGTATAACACCTATATAGTAGGTTTGGTTAGGTTAGGTTAGGTTAGGTCTATCTATGATAGACATTAAAATAAACACCATACACTTATTTCCAAATATTTACCTACGGCTGGAGAGATCGGATCCCGGTATACCAAAGAATAATACGACCACTTATGTATAAAAGTTGTACCGGTAACAACAACAACAACAAAAATTATTATTCTCGACACCGCAATTTCATATCGTTATAAATTTGTAATAGTAAATATTATTGCTGTGCACTTCACAGAAGTACAACACGGAATCCCGCGGCGAGTATTCGCAAACGCGGCGCATGCGCACTGCGTCTGCGGTTTATCGGTCGAGCAGCATGGAAATCCTGCGGTCGCTGGCCGACACGGCCGAGCAAAAGAACGGCGTGCACTTTGTCCGATGCTTGCGAGCGACGCTTACCGATGAGCCACTTGGCTTCCAACCGGAAGTGGTCAGGCAGCAGATAAAAGCGTTGTCTGTCGTCGAGACAGTGTCCGCCCGGCAGGACGGTTACTCGTGCCGGATATCATTCCACGAGTTCATACAGAGGTAATATTATTGTAAGATGATTAATCACTATGATGCACCATATTATGGTGGATTGTGATGTATTACCATACAGGGTGTTTGGATTTAAAAAATAATAATACTCTAAGCTTCAGTTTTGACCATAAGTTTATTGGAATTATGGTCCGAAGTTCAAACTCTATTGTTAAAGCGCTTTACTTTAGTACTTATAATATTATGTTTTCTTGTGCTGTTACGCCCCTCTAGCACATTTATACTAATAGGTACTAATAGTTAATACTTAATACAATATACAGTATATGCTAATACAATTTATTTGAGTTTTAATTACTTTTGAGACATGGTGTAGTAGTAGGAAATGTATGTTGTAGAGTGTGAAGAGGACGTCACATGTGTGGACGTGTTGTCTCCATCTTACACACATACGACATAGACAAAACGCGTTTACGCAGTCTGAGTAGAACTCGCTCAACTTTGGTTCTAGAGTAAAAATACCTATTATAATAATGAATTGTGACAATATTTTTGAGGGTAAGTAATTACGTTTTTTTTAAAAAAATTTAACTTTTGAAAAGTTAAAGGTATTTTAAAAATGTTGAAATTTTTTATTTCTAAACGATATAACAAACGTTATATTGGGTATACTATTGAAAAAAACGCAAGGACATGCCCACAGAAATATTACCACAATTCAATTTTATAATAGGTATTTTTACTCTAAAACCAAAATTGAGAGAGTTCTACTCTGACTGCTTAAACTCGTTTCGTTAAATCGTACGTGTATAAGAAGTCCTGTGACGTGCTCAATAAATTGTACTGATCTGTGATTTTCCATAATACTTCATAAAATCTAGACAATGCTATAACTATTCGGTGGAATCGTGTGTTTAATACATAAAGGTGCATATCATATAGACATATAGCCATAATAATAGAAAGATTGTCATACAGGTATAAGTTTTTGGCATTCGATTTTTATGAAAACGTTGAAGTCACCAAGGAAAACTGTCGACTATTGCTGATTCGTTTGAAAATGGAAGGATGGCTAATTGGAAAGAGCAAAGTTTTTCTGCGGTACTACAACGAGGAATATTTGTCTAGGTACGTACAACATCTAGACAGTTGAAATAGTATATGTCAATCATCGACATTATTATTGATTACACATTTAATTAGGTATATGTATCGTATTTTCGGTAACATACCCATTTATTAACGTTAACCATCGTTTGAAAAGTTCACGATTTTTCGTAACAAATATGCTATAATGTATATTTAATCTAACTGCAAACTTTCAGGCTGTACGAGACCCAAGTGAAGAAAGTTGTAAAAGTACAGTCGATGCTCAGAGCATTCATCACGAAAAGGAAAATTCAACCGCAGTTGATAAAACAACAATCTGGTAATGACGATGCGTTAATACAGTCTTAATTATTTTAAATTAGTTTGTTGAAGTAACATACAATTTTATTAATTTTTTTTTGTATTGTTATATTATTATTATATTATACTATTATAATCCATAGTTATTAAATTATTGTAGTAGACTATCGTCATGTAGTGTTGTTTAGTCGGAAAATAATACAAATAATAAAATTTAAATATATTCTAAAAAAAATTAACTTATTTTTTTTTATATAACAGAGTAGTTATTTTAAGCGTTGGGAAGATTTTTATATTATAATAATTTTGTGTTTTTCATATTCAGCTATCGTAACATAACAATATAATAGGTATACAACGTACGACCCAAATATTGTTTAAGTAAATTACCATACCAATAAATTCACACAATATTATACGCCATAACTGAGTACATTTTTTTTCAAGTTAATTTGAGTTTTTCTGAATCCATTTAAGTACATATAGCCGGTTATGAATTAAATAAAAATAAATAGTGTTTGCAACCTATATACGTATATTCAATTTAAAGCTAGGTGGTCTAAAAATGAGAGCGGCATAAAAAACAACAGAATACAACCCTCGCCAATGACTTAAAAGCATATCGTGACTCACACGTAGGTATGATAATATAGGAAAATAATGAATGCTTTTACACGATCTACAGTATCCGATGAGGGTCGTAGACAATAGCTCATTAAAAAAATACCGTACCTAATATTGTTATATCGTATTCAATTTAACAACTAATCTTATTATGCTCGAAATCTATTTGCTCAATTTGTTAAACACACTGACTATCCCAATTTGGATTGATTGTAAACAGGTAGGTAGTAAAATTTCAAAGTATATGAATATATTAACGACCGTGAAGACAAAAACGTCGAATCGTTTAATTTGATCAAGTGATAAAATACGCTTTTGGATAGGTACCTCAACTCTTCTACTACTACACTATAGTAGCATACTAGCATATATAGGGTTTAGGGGGTGGGGTTCCAACCCCACCGAAAAATAAAAGTTTGTGTGTCTGTAGAATTTTTATTATTAATTATACTGTCGGGAATCCTGAATCGGGATTTCTATAAGCCCCACAAAATGAAATCCTATATACGTCACTATACTAATACTCAGAGCTTCGAATGGTTAGAAATATAAAATTATCCATTGATTTATCCATGCACTTCAAATGCAGCGATCGAACTGAATTTATACGTTTAATAGTAAGAGAGTAGATTGACGCCACATATTTATAACATAACACAATAGTATCGAACAGTGAACTAAAATAACGCACTGGTTACTGGTATAATAGACGCATACTAGGCATCGGTGACTGAAAAAAATTTATTTTGAGAAAAACAACTTAAGAGTATATCCAAGTCTATTTTCAATACAATTTTATCGGTTTAATATTATTGTTATTATTTGAACCAAAAAAAATTACTCCACACACGTAAATGCACCATAGCCATAGGCATGTACCATAGGCATAACTGGTATAAGTATGCTTTCATAGAAGATATATCTCCGCCAAGTTACGCCGTCAAGTTCTATGTCTAATATACTATTATAATATAAGCACTTAGCTTGGATATTGTACTGTTAATCCACACAGATTAAGTATATCTGATCTATGGTGTCATACCGACATGACCATGTAGCATAATTGTAATAAAGCTCCCCTCCCCCAAAAATTGATCTTGTTAAGTAAATCAATCACAAATCACAATACTTTACGGTATTCGGACGCGAACGAATTGCGAGTAGCTGCGCAATATATTATAATAATAATAAAAATAATAATCCTCCGCACATTATACACGGCGTACACATATACACAAATATAATATCATGTGTCGTACACCAATGCCGCTACTTGTGCACGACCAAAGGGTAGGTGATGACGTTGATGACGATGACAAGCGCTCGCGTTCGGAGGATTTGGTGCGGGACCCTCGTGTTCGGGAGATTCCTGTCGTCGGCGTCGTCGTTGGCGGCGGCGGTGGCTGGCCGACGGGGCTGCTCTGTGCGGGGAGGGTGTAGGGGGTAGTTCCCTGCTACTCCGGACGAGTGGGCAGAGATTATTTCGCGCGCCCGCGGGGCACAGGGGGTGGCTTTTTAATTGCGCTTACCCTTTGAAGTCGGCCAAACGGATCAAAGGTCTGGTCGGCACCGCCGAGGGGCCGCGACCGTACAAAGAGACTTTACCCTCCCCCGCGGCGGCCACGCAGCCATGCCCCAAAGCCCCGCGACGTTTGCTAACACACACACACACACAACATTATAATATATACGATATCGCGGAGACGGAGATTTAAACGTGCGATCGCGTGAATGGCATGGCAAAAAACTAACGAAACGCGACAAAAAAATCTCTTCTCCTCCGTTTTCGAGTGTACACCGTCGTTTTTGAGACCCACGGACAACACTCACTCACGCACACACACACTTATACACACACACACACTTACACACATACACTCTTATACACGCACACACGCGCACGCCAGTAAAACAATAAACACACGCAAATAAGTGGTTTTTCGTTTTGTACTCGTACATTATATTATACTACTATAGCAGAGTAACCCGACTTGGCCCTTTCCACGGGAAAAAATGAACAAACATAAATTAATACGGCGCTATATCGGTATAGCTCGGTTTTGGAGTAGGTACTTACCTGTGTGAACACTAATTCGACCGAGATTGGCAATCCAATCAAAGAAAAATCTTTGAGAAATAATCAAGATATACCTACTCTCATATATATTACTATATATAATAAATATTAATCTAGTTGTAGTTTTGATAAGCAGCTGTTCACTTTTCAGTATCAAATGATTTTAGTCATTTAAACATATAAACATTGTCTCAATGTAATAATGGACGATGTACATTCAACATGTTTATACATATTTTATATTTTGTAATAAATTATAAACGAAAATTATTGGTCGTGCTTTCCACGATCGCTATAATTATAGTCTATAATAGCACTGTTGGTCGTTTAAAATTTTTATTTCAATAATCGAAATCTGAGAACCACCGACACGGTTTAGATCGATAGTCTGCAGCCAAAACCTACTAAAATATATTGTACCATACACGAAATCCGAATTTCACAACTTCTGGAGTTCGAACGGCACCACACTCTATCTGCTGTCGTCCGTGGTCGACGTCAGCTCCCGCATGGGTCAGTATAAATTCTTTTAATTGATTAATAACTCGGCACTTGAATAGTAATAAATTGTTTGCATCCAAGTCTTAGTCGCAGTTGTGTTCCCTATGTTTTTTGTTTAATTTTTAGTTTGCTTTCTCGATCTTCGTAATATTGTCTTATTCGTAGATAATAATATTTGAATGGCTATGCAGATTCTACAACATTTTTTACTAAAAATTAACCTGAAATCTGGAATACATTATACATAATTTCCCAATTTCCCTCTCGGAGTGTTTTTTTTTCATTTTTAAATGTAATTAGTTTGAACATTTTACTAATTGATGTTTGACGTACTCGGTATTATACAATAATTGATTATTAGATTTGTTTTGATAATTTTTGGTAACCCAACATTAACTATTCATAATAGACATTCAAATATTTACGTGTTCGGCTTCTCAGATTTTGATGTAGCAAGCGTGAATTCTGTATTGTTTTTAGCACAAAACAATACACATTTAAAATAAACAATGAAATGATTTCAATGCGTTTTTATTCATTAATTGTAAATGTATTGTTATTAATATTACAATTTTTTTTTTATTATTATTGATCGAGAAAGCGTAGTTTTCAAAAACCTTCTAATTTATCAAAGTAACGAATGTAACGACTTGATATTAATATTTCACTATCGTATTCCATCAATAATTTGAAATATCTTTAAATAAAAAATGTACATTACATAGTTACATATTAATATACAGTTATTCAGTTATAGAATAGGTTATGTATATAACAATCAAGTTCTATGATATTTTGTAGTTCTTAAATTATAATAAGTAAGTATTATAGGCATACTCGTTACCCAGTAATTGGTACATCGTACGTTTTGTATAGTTGAATTTTTTCGATTTAATCTATCCGGGTGTTATCATAATATTTAAATATATATTAAAATTGTACTTTAACACTAAAATAATATTCTCATGAACTCTGGTTTTCAGCGAATAAACGAAAATATTCAATGGCTCATGAGGAAGCGGCACTAGTCATACAAAAACGTGAGTATATAATACGAATTTCATATATGATATATCAATGATTCTTTAACTAGTTAGGTATTGTGTGGAACCACGGTATCTCGGTCTCAAGGTACCGAAAAAAAAAAATTGACGGAACGAAAACTTCGTTTTGACAGGGTAATTTAAAATATGGAAATTAATGATCGGGACATAAAAAAAATTACGATAAACCGAAACTTTGAGATACCGAGGTTCCGCTGTATAAACTGTAAGGTTTCGTAGTGTTAAAGTTCAGCATACATTTACGGAATAGAATAATACTGGTGAAGGGGTGTAGTCAATATTTGTTTGGTATTGATGACTTAATTTCTCTTGAATTACCCATATGATTTATGCGACATTTTGTATCGCTCATACTTTAGTTTTACACGCCATAATATATGGTCCAGTTAGAGCCAATCGCTAGGTAGATGATTTAATTATGCATTCGATTTGAGTTACAATATATTAATTATAATTTATGTTTCGTGTTTAGTAAAAAATGATTTTGTTTGAGAACATTATTTAGACTTCAGGTACCTATACATTTTTGAGATTTCCCTCAAAATATGTACAAGCCGAAAAATAATAAAAATTATACGGTGATGACTGATGAGGCTTTAACTGTCTACTTGACACACGGCTACATGCGTATGTTAATTTTTTGAGATCTTCATATTATTATATACTGAGCACTTATCGAGAATGATTTTTATTTGTCGATAAATCATAATCAATAACAAAGATCAGCCACATGGTTGAACATATAAAATAATATAATTGATTGACTATACATTTTTTTTTATCCATTTAGATTATAAGGGATATCAAGTACGAAATAAAAGCAGTTCGATAAAAGTCGGTAAGTACTAAGTTAATATTTATAGTAATATTACTGACGTAATGTTATGATTATTGATAACGTTGTAACAAATGATATTATCTTCTGATATTATAGAACGTTAAAGATTTACATAATATGTATCATATAATTATCTATGACCATAGTATCTTGTGTATAGCCAATTTCAAATAAATCTGATGTCTAAATAATAATATCTTATTTCAAGATATTTTAAATTGTATTTTCATTTTTCAAACGGAATATTAAAAGGCCAAAAAGATTTGACCTACGTATTTTTTCAATAGGCAAACTTGATGCCGTAGGTCGTAAAAAACTAAAGATGATTATTAATAAATGGAAAGGAAAATCAATTTATCAAGTCGTATTGTTGGATCGAGCCAACAAACTTCAAGACGTTGTATACTTTTCGTTGCAGGTAAGTTTAGTCACGTATTAATATTTAAGTCAATTTAAACTATAGTGGCCATCGCATAGACATCGTACAAACATAATATTTAAAATAAAAATGATTTAAGGCCCCTGAAAACTAGTAATTTTTAAGGAGTTGTGTTTAGGCAATTATTTCGTTCCTGTGATTACTGATCGTCTTTGTGTGTGTAGTAAATGATCATTAGTGTGTGTATAATTCCCTACCATCACTCGCGACCCATATCAATTTCCAATACATTGTTATTTCTTATCTGGTTTATGGTCGCACGAAACGCACATGCACAAGTCATTTAATGTCTTGATCAAAATATTCAAAACCAATTTATGGACTTGAAATAGCCGTCGCACTGACAAAAATTAAGGTAATTCTAGTGGTTCGATTTAAAAAAAAATGTAAAGATGTTTGTGTTGGTAAACAAGTTTACTTTGCATCAGTCGGAGCACTTTTTCAATTTCAGCAAATTCTTGACGAGAATAAATATTTTACATTTTATAAATTTATAAATTTATAGTATTCAACAAACATATCTAAAATATAAAAAATATGCTCCAACCGATGCAAAGTAGACTTGTTGACAAATTAAAACATCTCTACATTTTTTAAATCGAACGACTAGAAGTACTTTAATTTTTGTCAGTCGCTAAGTTCGTTTTGATGAAAACATAATAGGCTTTGCAGGGGCCTTAATAGAGTTGAAACATCATAATATAAATATAAATTGCAATTGGTAAAAAGTTTTTTTTTAAGACTCGTCCACCTTATACAGTTTCAAAATAATAAGCTTAACAATTATTGGGTGCAGTTATAAATAATAATAAAAAAAACCTTTGGTGTATACTAAATTTATATTATTCTATAAAAAACTATAAAACCATAGCCTTAATAGTGTACTCCAAAATTCGTTGCATTCCAAAATTCGAAGTACCCGTACTCAAGGCTGGGCAAGTTAACGTTTTTTTTTTTTAACTCGTTAAGTTAAGTTATTTTAAAATAATTAAGTTAAGTTAAGTCAAAAGTTACTCTTATTTTTTTCCGCTAACTTGTTAAGTTAAAAGTTAACTTTGAAAAAAAAGTAACTTAACTTAGTGTATAGTTAAAATGTGTCTAATTTGCAAAAATAAAAAACCAGACACATAATATGGTTGATTAGATAGTTTTTCTTTACGTCCAAGAAAATGACTGGGGAAATTTAAAATGATACATCAATTTAAAAACACATTCAAAAATTTGCATTATTCTTGGGACGAAAATTAACTTAATTTAGATATTTTTGAAATAAAATTAACTTGAAGTTAACACGTTAATCTTGAAAAAAAGTAACTTATTAAATTAAAAGTTAACTTGAAAAAAAAAGTAACGAGTTAATTAACTTAATTAAAATTAACTCAACGTTTTAACTTAATTTTAATTTTTAACTCGCTAATGACCAGCCTTGCCCGTACTATGGTAACACACAAGAATATCCGTAATATTTTATTAAACGACATATTAGTATGTTATATACCTATAGTAATGTTCCACAAAAATACGAGATCATTTTTTTCAGAATGGGTACCCTAATATTGTTTTATTTGAACTCAAGTCCATGAGTTTTTCTCTATAATGTTCTCAAAAATTGTTATAACTTTATTTCTCTACAAGACACTTTTGATTGACGTACACAGTGCTTGAATTAGGAAAAAAACAGTAGGGGGATGAAAAGTGTAAAAAAAAATGTGCGTACACACCTGATTGTTTAAACGTCGTATTGATTAAGGTAGTACCTGGAAGGGGGAAATACGCAATACGCATAATTAATATTTATTAAAAAGAACCTCTCAAATTAAAATACTGGACATACGCAGTTGAAACCGGATATGCCTTTACGTACATACTACATATAGGCCTAAACGTACGTCTTTGTATAGCGAACTCGGAAGTACCGAGTAAATAATATACTGTCTAATAGATGTGATCTCCTAATCGAATTTTTATTCGACATCATTCAGTCTTTATAGTACCTATCAACCTATCTGTATAGTCTATACACATCGGTAGTATAATATATTATAATATGTCTTCTTATCGGAAGCTCCGCACTATCGGATTCCGATTGCCCTCGGTCCTGTTTGACTGATCGATGCCTATTATAATATTATGTACATAATGCGCGTTGTAATGGCTCGTCCGCAGGTGCATTTGTACAACCAGCACGCGATTAGTAACTTGAACAACATGAACCACCGACCGGTTATGCTGAAAGATGTGATGAGCACGACCAGCGTAAACGAATTCTTGGGCAGCAAGAGGTGTTATTTGTACAAGATACCTTTCCAATTGAATCAAATGGACACGGAAACCAATCAGAATAACTTGATGGACGAAAAGTGATAAAAACTAATAGCGCATACACATTTTAATAGTATTCGATTGCCGTATCGATGCGATGGTCTATACATCACGTAACACCCTCGGCATTACCGACGCAAATGAAACGTTTTGAACAACTATTAACTATCTAGATCACTATAATAATTTAATATTAACTGATATATTATTATACAGCTGATAATTACGACATTTGTCACATACAATTTTAAGTAGTCCCTATGGTTGAAGATAACAATTTTTTTTTTATTTATTTCAATACAGATCTTATTTTGCATTATGAAATTCAAAACAAGTAAGCTCAAATCGATAAAGAATTGTCAAAGTCAGCTGAAGAGCTGGTTAAGTTTTTAGTTTACGACGTTATTTTGCAAAGGAATAATTTTTAAAAGGCGACTTGTAACATTAAATTATTTAATTTTAATTTTAATTTAAATCAATGCTGATCATATCTTCTCCCAATTCAAATGTTAAATTTCAATAACTAATTATTTTTTCATTATTATTCATTTATTTTATTATTTTTGATTCTAAATTTGTTATTGTTAGCGATAATATTTAAGGCATTATAGGAATATTGCAGTGTATAAATTATAATCAATATTATATTACTTTACCATTTGTGCTGTTGTTATTTCAGTATGGTGAGTAATGTGGACGACTGCAATTGGGACTCTCCTCTGAATCGTTTTCCAGAAGCTCGTACTGCGTTTAAAATTTTGAAACACTCGTTCGCTGTCCGAGGTAACATCTTTTAATCTACACTTATGTATATTAGGTATAATAGATTATGTTGTATGTATGGCGATGGAAAAAAACCAGCCCACCGGTCAGGATGGATTATGTTATAGGCTTTGGATCATACAAAAAGAAACGAAAAAATACATCTATTATGTTGTTATTAGTTTTAAAAAATATTTTATTCTCACTGAAATTTATCATATCAAGTAAGTTATCTAGTAGTTAAGCAGTTCCCGCGGCGTCGTCGGTTGAAAACTGGAAAAAAAAAAAAAAAAAGGTACTTAAGTATTAGGTATATTGGCATATAGGTAGTTCCGTCTATAATATAGTTTTATAATATTTTCTGTGAATATGCAATATAATAACTTACAATTATTATAAATTATTATTTACTAAAATATATTTATTATTTCGGGTTTTTTTTTTACATAATTAATTTTACAAAATTGAATTAATTTTAAATATGTGTTTTGGGAAAAAATTAACTTAACGTGTCAATAAAATTAACCAACTCGTTAAGTTACAGAATAACATGGGGAAAAATGTAACTTGTTAAGTTAGAAGTGACTTCTAAAAAATAAGTAACTCGTTAATTAACTTAGTTAAAAGTAAGTTCACTTTTTAACTTAACATTAACTTATCAACTCGTTATTCCCAACTTTGAGTATTCCACACTGATTAACAATAATTACCTGTTAATATATATTATAAATATTTTAATTGGATTTAAACTAAGTCCCAACCGTATTAAATAGTATTGGATATTTTGTGATCAAAATTTATAGTAACTATTTCTATCGGTATTTATTCGATATAGTCATTAAACTAAATTAAATAAATATAAAATAAATCAAGCTTTCGATGGAACTTACTACAATGATAATATTTTATTATAATTATTATTTGTATACAAAATATATTATCAACTTTTAAATATACGAAATGTAAAACATTGTATTCCAGATCAAGGCGTACAAGTGGATATTGCTCAAGGAGTACGATTTTCCGATCCCGAATACAGTAAACCACAATATTTTGTAAGCACAAATTTAGTACTTAGTGTACAATGCAAATGTATGCATTTAAAATGTTGTTTTTGTACTAGGAGAACAATCGTATGCAACAAAAACAGGATGAAAAACCAATAAAACAACCTGTGAGAGACAACAGATATAGTGTGAAAGAGAAAAATGATTCGAAAGTGACCACTACAGTGAATAAACCAAACATAAAAAGGTTCGTTGTTTGATGTTTTTATTTATAATCTACATTTACATTTAGTACAGACAGTATAGTCATAACTCATAACAAAATTAATTTATGAATTACTTACATTGGTATAGGTATTAATATAATACTAATGGCATATTTCTTCTTTTAAGTATGATATTATAACCTTTATTTTACAGCCTTCATAAAAGTTAAATGTTGAAAAAATGATTTTGAATTATTATAGTAAGTCTAAATAAATTTTAGCTGGGTTTTTACACTATTCCTTTGATTCAGCATAATGTATCAAGAAATGAGTATACTAAAATTATCATAGTATAGATTTAGGTAGGTATGTATCTACCTAATAAAAATATTGTATGATATTGATTTAAGATTTTACAATTATGTATGTTTTAGTTAAACATATACAAGTTATCTAACATATCCAAAGACTACTTTTTTGGATACAAACAGTGCCTAAAAGTGTAGAGAAATATAATTTTTTTTTTCATTGAAAAGTAAATTCAACGTTTTATTGAACATTTTTTATGATTTCCCTGAAAACTATACATACCGATAGAATTAATAAAATATGGTAATATAGTATACAATATTGTATACTAGGTATGACTTATGACTAGGTACATAGTAAATAGTTATTCAATAACAATATATAACATTATGTATTTATGTACAATTTGAAATTCATAGAAGGGGTTAGGCTTAAGATACATTTATTGTTTCTCTATACCCTAGAAGACATTCAACAGATTTAAATTTGATAATCGTAAATCTATTATTAACTTCTATAATTGTTTAAGATAAAATTAAAATTAATAAAGTTTTAATTTTCAGACCATCAGATAAATCAAATCCTGTACTTGAACTCCAATTAAAAGGTAAACAATACCAGTCGGGTTACGCAGACGAAGACGATCCTCCTTACAACTTTCAGGTTAGCTGCGATTATTAAAATGTTTCAGTAGCAGATTGAATACAACAATAATAATTAAAAATAAATATAATATTGCAGTAGCGTAGCCAGGGTAGTGTGGGGGTCGTGGCCCCCAGAAATGTTAAGAAAATTGAAAATGGTCTATGAAAGTTACTGCAAATGCAAATTTGTATAGCCGTACAGGAACTGAAACTTAAAATAAAACCTTGACATCAGTATGCTAAACTTGTAGGAGATTCTAGTTAAACATACTCTATGTAAATATATTATCAGTAGCCCGTCCTCCCCATCATAGGCGTGCGCACGGGGGCAGCAGAGGCAGCATATGCTGCCCCTGGACTTTCTTTGGGGCCACCGGGGCCGGCAAATATTAAATAGTGGGCCTCGGTAAAATTATATTTGCACAAAAATTTTTTTTTGTTTTGATAAACTATATATGAATATTTTATATAGGCTTGTAGAAAAGTACACCTATAGTGGCTTAGTACCTTACTATACAACCTTTTATTCAAAAAAAACAAATAACCAATACAATTTTAATTTTGATATCCAATAGTAAAAAAAGTAAAACTATGGGCTGGTTTTAATGGTGAATTTGAAAAATGGGCCGAATTAATCTTTTGCTGCCCCTGAAACCGGAGGCTGCGCACGCCTATGCTCCCCATAAGAAAAAATCTAGATACTCCACTGTAATATTATACGTGTAGAATAATTATCACTGTCCTACTATTATAATATACTATTATTATCCATTTAATTCCTCGAGTAGCAATAGCATCACTATAATAATAAAATATCATGTGGTTCTCAGGCGATTTTGAAAAAGACCAACTACAAACGTCCGTCACTGGACGGTCGGACTATAGAGTTCTCGTCCAGCGGCGACCGAATGACGGACAGGTACGATGGACGACGGATAGAAGAAGATTACGGTCGTAGGTCAGACTCAGACAACGTGAAACGGTCAAAGGACTACAAGAACGAGCTGAACAATCAACTGTCCAGAGCAACGAGGACTGAGATCATACCGGGTGTGATGCTCGAGGGCTCTTCTTGCGACCTTTAGATGACCATCTGATGGCCGTCGACGTCGCAAAAACTATAGTTATTATAATGTCATGATAGTATTATATTATGATATTATTAATTATACGGGATATGGATACATTTTTACGTTAACTTTCTAGTCGCTAAATATAGTTACCTAGGTAAAATAGTGTTGGCTGTGAAATAATTTTAACGACATATCTGCGACGATCCGGCTATAGATTAAATTTGTCCTGATATTCACAAGTCACAACGAATTGAGTAACAGTTTACGTTTTAACCACGGTAAAATCCGAACATTTTTAAATATAAATGCTTGAAACTATAATAATATCATGTAACCTGTACCTTGCACACTTATATTGGCCACTTTAGTTAAGAATATACTAACAAGTTTTTATGTGAAACTATTACCTACACTAAAGTGCAATAAACTATAACGATATTATATTATTGCTTATTTTTTTTGTTTGACTATTGTAATGAATAATAATATAAAACTTTATTGAACAATTTTTTTTTGCACAGTTTTTATAATTATATAAATATATATTATGCATGAGATAACTTTTCCGAACGTCATATTTTTTTTTGAAATGTTGATAATAACATTTTGGAGTTTACTATTCGCCTGATACCTACGAAGTTTAATTCTAAACGTTTGGTACAATAGGAACAAAGATTTTGTTAAGAAATTACTTAGGCAGTAATCCTTAACTCGACCACATTCTTATCAAATTAGAATTCAGATATACTGAAACCGAACTTATAAGAATCGGTTCTGGTACCAGAACCTTTAAAATATTAAGATCCAGAACCGGTACTGAAACCTTTATTTTAATAAATAAAGTACCGGAACTGAACTGGAATTTTTGAATTAAATAGGTTCTTTTAGGTTCAAAAATAAAATTATTTTATTTATCGTAATTTTATGGTATCATTGTTTTGTGTATAAACTATGTATGATCATATACATTTTCTAATATTTCTCACAATATCAATTAAACCCGCGTTCTGGATAGGCATTTAAAACTATTATACTTTTTGGTACCTAAATTATATGAAACTGGTACCAAAGTTATTTGGAACCGATACCTTTATTTTTTTTTATCAAAAAACTAGAACCGAACCGAAACAGTTATTTTATTTTTGGAAAACCTGTCCCGGAACCGAAACCGATAAATTCAAAATTTTAAAGTCTCTGAATTGTATGGATATTATGACTAAAAACTATTACGATTTTTCTTCATAATTTTTAAGAACATTTATAGGTAAAATCTATTAATATAAAACACGCAAAAGCTGCTATTTAGATAGGTAACTAAAGAAATAATGAGATTTTTTTCTAAAAACGTTGTATGATTTTGGATGTAAAGGTTATTACATTATGAAATGTATTAATATTAAATGTAAATTTGAATCCTTTTGAATTAAATCTACAACCAAATGTATAAAAAATCTGAACTGTATTAATGAAATTAGTTTATACCTAATCGATATTTGACCGTTATATTGTGACACTCTTCTGTAATAGTAAATAGTTGTATCGAAATTTGCAAGTCGAGATGAGCAAAGTGTCCATATATACGGCACCCCAAATTGGAATTTTCAAACTCTTTTTTTGCACAATATATTTTGTGATACGTTTGTGCACGATTCCCGTCTTTTTTGCTCAATTATATCCGAATATATTATATAGCGTACCTCTAGTAAAAAATGTTGATGGAAACTATACATACATTTTAGAGAAACCGTATGTATAAAAGGGCGTATTATACATTTTATACCGTGTTTTTAACTCACAAATACATAATAATGGAGACAGATAAGAACATAATATTATCCGACCAAACTATTTGTGTTAATCATTTAGGTACACATTCGATCCAATACAAAAACAGTAAAAAAATTAAAATATTTTGATTGAATGGACTTGGCGCCTTTTAAAATTTAGCGCTGTAGGCGATTGCCTATACCTACTGCCGTCTTCAGTCTATATACGTCGTTAGTCTGACAATTCGTGTATAGCGTCCTCTTACTCGTCTAAGGAATCGTTGGGTGAGTGATATGGTAATATCATATTTTTAAACGAAGTTTAAAGTACAGATATAACAATATAATAATAATATTACTACCGAAGATATCGGAGGTTTTCGGCTCTTATTGGTCACCGCGTGGTAACTACCAAGTTGTTTTGGTTGTGTCATAATAATAACAATGCACTTACGTCTTACACTACAACAGTTACCTATATAATAATAAATATAACGTACAGTACCCCATATATATATATAAACATATCGTGTGGTTTTGTAATCCCTTTTCTCTGGGGCCGTCATCGTGTGATGTCCTTATTACGTGGTACCGATGCACAATATAATAACATCATAATACGTACCTCCACCTCCCATAGGTATACCTAAAGTATTATCGGTCTCATATATATATATATACATATAGGCAGACATAGGATACCCACTCCTACACCACGTCCCATATAAACCCGCCGATTCCGACAAAGCGACGTTTGTTCGGGCCCGAAATGTACAATCCCATTTGTTCGAGTCCGTAACACATACAATTCATTTGGTACCACAGGATTATACCATAATATATGTCCCTACATCCGTTACACCGGCAAAATTAAAAAGGCCGAAACCCGTTGTTCGGGAGAAATTCACACATTGTTGTACACGTACACGTACATATCATATTGCGGACAATGTCATATATTATACAATTTTATTGCGTTATAATAATAATATATTATATACGTACAGGCTGCGGTGAAGTTGTGTACCGCACACGAATGATACAATAATAATAATAATATTATATACCTAAGATGGAAATGCGTATAATGCGTTTACCCACAAAATGTCGCTCGGGGAACGTTCGCCACCCGCGGTCATTGTGAAAATCACTGCATTTTTTTTTAACCAAAATAACCCTAAGTCCGATCCGCGGTAATCCCACAAAGGTCAAAACATTACAGTACAATAATAATATTATCTACTCGGCGCAGTACATCCCATTATACCTATTATTATAGTTGTTGTTGACCAAATCGGGCGGCGTACGACGACACATAATATATAATATAAGACTGAGGAAACGGATAATCTTTCACAGAATTTCTTTTATTTCTCTTTTTCGCCTCAATACAATACAAAAACATATCCTTTTCTCTATACGATTCGGTTTTTTTTTTTGACCTGGCGGCACCAGCGTTTTTCCTTTAGGTACACGCAACACCCGTGTGTAACACACACACATCATAATACTCGGTACACAATAAATACAATTTATTTTTCACTCGTATGCGGTCAAACATTGTGACGGGACTTACGATCCCCTCAGCAGGTACCGTACACGATAATATATTATGTACCTACCCATATTTATATGCGGCTATGACTCAAAACGAGGTTTTTCTTTGGTCGTCGTTGTACGCCTGTACACACATCACGTTATAAATATTATTATTATTATTATTATTATTATTACTACCTGTTGGCTGTTACACAATAATTATATTACATCATATGAGGCACTGCACAATATTATAGGTAATTATTGCAGTCCGAACATTATTACTGTAATAATATTATGCCTATAATAGGTGTATTGTTATATTGTGGAACGCGAGGAGGTATACATACAATACGTATTTTACAATAATAGTAATATATGACTATATGGTGTGTGTCTGAATAACAGGAGAGCGGCGAGTGACCGACGCTCAAATTGAAATATCGCCGGGTAAATATTTTCGACATTCGGCTACGTCACATCGGATACATCATAATACGATATTACCATAATATTATAATATATACGTATGCTGGAGACTATGACGTATTATATGGTGGCACACGTGATATATAGTCGGTCATATATTATCAGTGTATGGTCCGGGTAGGTCCTATGGTACTAATCGTCCGTGTGTTTATAATAATATTATTATATTCGAACAACGGGTGTTGTAGATCCACATATATATACTGTAATAATATATATTTCAACTCCCGAAATCCCACGAATTTTTAACAGTGACTTAATAATAATTTTCTATTTTCAATCTTAAACATCTATTCATACAATATTATGTTTGTCTTGACGTATTGTACACTATTTTTTATATTATGATAGACACCCCAGATAGCATTTCCGTAATCATAATATTATTAATATATTATTATTCCATCTTAATACAAATTGAAATAATCAAAAGCATTAAAATTACATAATTAAAAATATATATATCATAACATTATAATAAATATGATTTTATAATATTAGTTGTGTATTTATAATATTATTAAAAATATATTTTGAAACATAATTATGATATTATATTAATTGAAACATTATTTTCGTTATATAATAATAATAATAAATAAAAGTTTGTGCAGAACAATATAATTAAATTAATAAAATCAACTATATTTATATCGCATCATTTTATCGTTGAATTCGTGTAGGTACATGGAGGATGATATGTATAACCTATATATATATATTTTAATTTGTATGTATAATTTTTCCTGAATACAAGGTTTTTTTTTTCAAAGTAGGTAATTATTATTATTGCCCATATTTTCGACGCTGGATGACAAATCATGAAATCCATAAATTTGTATTTTACAAACTGACAAAGTATAATTATATTAAATTTTAATATTGATCCCTCTCACTCACTATATTTAGATAGACGATGATTTGCGAGAGCTTAAAATATGTAGAGTCAGAAATGTCGTCGGAAATCAGAATTTAAAGAGAAATAATTAAGATTGAAAACAATATATATTTTATGGGTAAAACGGTTTCCACAAAAGTTAATATTTATTTTACATACAAGAAACCTTTTTAGATAGATACATTTATTTACAGTTTAAGCTTTCTAAACATAAGTATTCTTGTTGTGTCCGTCCGTATTAGTTACCAGTACATATAATTACGATTGTTGATATTAAAGGGGGCTGCAGTCGATGAACAAAAAGTGGCTTTTAGGCCAGA